AAGCGTATATTGTAATGGCGACAGAAGATGATGATAAGTTTCGATTTGCGCACGACCGGTATATACAGGCAGCGTCGTCATTGGAAATGAGGAATGTAGGAAAGATGAACTTTGTGATCGCCTGCACACTTCAAAAGTACTACTCGTTGGATGAGAGGCTACAAGAGTCTACAGCTGCCCATATCTGTGCATCTGTTGATATTATTAAGAGGCGGGTAACCCACCGACAGTCCTTCCGGAAGATACTTTTTGAAGGCGCCCAAACGGCGGCTGAGAACGGCGCAAGGCCGACAGCTGCCAAGTATTACGATCATTGCTTCGCCTTACTTCAAGATTCTCCGTGGGATGACGAGAAAGAGGATTGCTACTACGAGGAGACTCTTTCCCTTTACATCCGAGCGGCCGAATGCCACCACTTTATGGGGCACTTTGAAGAGACCACCCGCCTCCTCAACACTCTCTTGGAACACGCGAAAACAGCCGTCGAAAAGTCTCCAGCCTGGGTACTACAATCTCGTATGTATGCCCAGACCGGGGACTCTGCGTCGGCTTTTAAATGTCTCCGCGTTTGCCTGTCTGCGTTGGGCACTGATGCAGATGAGAGCCCTACCTGGGAGAAATGTGATCGGGAGTTCGACAGGCTTTCATTGAAGCTCGGAAGCATCGATCAGAAGGAGCTGAGCATGCGACCATTAGGATGCAAAAGCTCCAATCTCGAAGCCGCAGGTGCTGTACTTGTGGAGATCATTGCCGATGCATTCTGGTCGGATCGTTTGGTCTATTATAGCACCTCCCTGGTGATGGTAGATACGTGCCTTACGCAGGGAAACTTCCCGCAATGCGGCCTGGCGTTTATGCACCTAGCTACTATCGCCATCTCGAGATTCTCAATGATTGAATTCGGTAGTCAGATGGGTAACCTCGCCCAAGACATGATGCACCAGTGGCAAGATCCATATACCCTTGGCATTGGTGGCACAATATACTCTTTGTTTGTTGGCCACGTTCAAGCGTCGCTGTCAGAGTCTATCGACCAGCTTGAAGGGGCGCTGGAATATATTATTCAATCCGGTGATCGAATCTCGACAATACTAAACTTTGGTGTTGTCGCCTTACTGAAGCTCTTCGGCTCAGAACACCTCGCTGATATAGAATCCTTCTGCCAATTCGGATGCGAAGAAATTCCAAACTGGCAAGAAGACTGCCGGGGTGGCAGTATGTTGATCGCAGTCCGTCAGATGTGTCGTGCTCTACAGGGCAAGACCAACACTGGATCTGCTGAGCATGTAATGAGCGATGAAAGCCATGACACCGCTGAGTATTCAAACTGGATAAAGTCAAGGGTCGGCGCGATGGGCGACAGACCGATCTTACTCTACCAAAGTCTCCAAGTGGCGCCACTGTTTTTGTATGGCCACTACAAGAAAGCTGCCGAGCTCTCACGTGAATGCTTTGATAACCTAGACTCAGTCTGGTCAGCAAGAAACACGCGCTTCACGATGCTATTCTACGGACTATCCCTCAGTGGTCTCATTTGGCAAAAGGCCCAGGATCCACGCGTACCTGATAAACGTTCGCTTCCCGCTGAAATTGGCGAAGTTCTGAAAGAGCTGACGATGCTGCGAAAGAAGATCGTCGAGTGGCAGGCAATTAACGACGTTAACTACTTGTCCTGGTCGACTCTGTTGGACGCGCAGATAGCAGAATTAGAGGGAGATCATGGGTCCACGATAAGCTTCTACGAGGCATCGCTAGACCATTCTGCCGTCCATGGGTTCATTCTCGAAGAAGCTCTTGGTAATTATCTGTTGGCTGGGTATTTCCTCCGCCGTACCGCTCGCAGATCAGCCAAATCAGCGCTCCGCGAAGCTATGAGCCTTTTTGGACAGATCGGTGCAGTCGGTGTTGTCCAGCATATCGAAACAGAGCACAGCCTGCTTATCCAAGGACCCACGGGTAGCTTGCGAAGGACAGAAGTAGGCACGCAGACCGATTTTGCGGGTGACTCAGCAACGGTGCAATTCGATACGCTGGAAAACAGCGGAACTGAGGATCGCCTACATCCCACTGGATCCCCTGCGGAAACTAAGGGTGACCGGATTGATGCGTGGCAATTGGGCTCTGCGCATGACGATTCTGGATCTGGGGTGCCAGCATTGGATATGTTGGATCTTAGCTCTATTCTGAAAAGTTCGCAGGTCATATCATCGGTTTTGCAAGTGGACCAACTGCTGAAAACCATGTGCGAAATTATCTTGGACAACTGCGGTGGTCTGGCATCTTTGGCTGCAATTATAGTGGAAGATGATGACCCTTCGGGCTGGAGTATCGCCGCCAGTGGCGATCCCGAGAATGGTGCCGTTGCTCATATGCCTGGACTCCCATTAATCGAGACGCCACTTGTGGCTTCCAGTGTCATCCTCTACTGCACGAGGTTCCGGGAAACTGTTTTCCTGACTGATCTCACCCATGACGAGAGATTTAGTAACGTTGCTGATGACTGGTGGATAAAGAATCCCCTAGGGAAGTCGGTGATTGCGATCCCGATCTCTCACGGCGTCAAACCGCTCCTAGGTGTTCTTTACCTAGAAGGGCAACCAAACGCCTTCACGGACCGCAATCTTACGGTTTTACAGTTACTAGTCAACCAGATTGGTATCTCCTACTCGAATGCCCTGACCCTGAAGGCAATCGAAAAGGTCTCTGCTTCGAATATATCAATGGTTGAGTCGCAAAAGCGGGCTCTTGCCAAAGCAAAGGAAGCAGAGATCAAGTCTCGACGAGCCGAGTCGGAAGCTATCCGGAATGTCAAACTTGCCGAGGAAGCAGCGAAGGCAAAATCTATTTTCCTCGCAAATGTTTCTCACGAGTTGCGAACTCCACTTAATGGTGTGATTGGAAATTCTGAGCTTCTCAAGGACTCGGATCTAAGGAAGGAGCAAGCCGAGATGGCCGATTCTATTCGGGTTTCGGCTGACTTGTTGTTAACCGTGATCAATGATATACTTGACTTCTCCAAGATGGAAGCCGACAAGATGAAGCTCTTCATTGTAGCCTTCAATGCCGATGAAATGTTACGAGAGGTTGTCCGATCTGTTTCTTACAGCAACAGAGACAAGAGAAGCACTCGCGAGGTGGAGATATTACAGGATATCAACCTCCCTCAGGCACTCATTTACGGCGACCCCGTCAGGCTTCACCAAGTTATTGGCAACTTGATTGGCAACAGCTTGAAGTTCACGGAGAGTGGATCTATAACTGTGGGCGCTCGAATGGACAGTGAGTCTGCGGACGACATACAACTCACATTCTGGGTGAGAGATACTGGTATCGGCATTCCGCCATCACAGCTTGCAAAGCTCTTCAAGCCCTTCAGTCAGGCAGATGCCAGCACGGCTCGAAAATACGGCGGTAGCGGTTTAGGCCTCAGTATTTGCAAATCATTAATCGAATCAATGATGAAGGGTATGATCAAGCTCGAAAGTACGGAAGGTGTTGGGACGACCGTTTGGTTCACCGTCACGTTCCCCAAGGCCAATCCGGACGCTACAGCAGGAGACAGCCAGACCGGCTCAGATCAACGCGACCCTATGTCAAAGTACATGGAACCTGAAGAGCGTCGTTCGCACTTGCCGTATGCGGACTTCAGTGATATATCTCGCGACGACCTGAGGATATGCATCGCGGAAGATAACCCCATCAATCAGAAGATTGCCATTCAATTCGTGCAGAAACTAGGGTTTAAACACGTCGATGCGTACGATAATGGCCTGGCAGCTGTTGAAGGGCTACGACAAAAGGCGAGAGAAGGCGTGCCATACCATCTGGTTCTGATGGATGTCCAGATGCCAGTGCTGGATGGTTATGAGGCAACGAAACTTCTACGAAGAGATCCAAATGATGCGGTTAGAGCGGTTCTGGTGATCGCCATGACTGCATCGGCAATTCAAGGGGATAGGGAAAAGTGTTTGGCGTCTGGTATGAACGATTATCTCGCGAAACCAGTGCGCGTGCACATACTGAAGAAGAAGCTCGAACAATATCTTCGTCAGGTAAGATACCCAGGCATTGTCCCAGTCAAACTTGTATGCTAATAGAATTCCCAGGATCCCATGCCTCTACCAAATCTCCAAGCAGAAGCCAACAAAGTCACCGCCGAAGTCATGAATGCGCACAGCACATTCGTGCCTCCTGCTGCAGCGGCACCACCATTGTCTCCCGGCCTCCGCCGACAAAGCCAAAACATGGCAACCCCGTCCGATACGTCTTGAGATATGCCGTAAATACATACAGTCACCAACAGGAAAATTATACTCGGATAATAGCCACACACCCATGAACTCCACAAGGACCACTAGGTCATTGGGGGACTAGTCAGGACCAGGTTTGCAGTCGAAATGAATAATGGCGCCATTACTAGTTCAAGTTTGATACCAGCGCTATCAAACCAACATCTACAGTATAGACCAGCCCAGCGTCAGACTGACCTTCCAACGCCCCACCCAGACAGCCTACAATCTTGGATTCACCAACCATACCGCCTGCTCTTATACATCTACTTTTACACAGACTTTTGCCCCACAAACTTTTGCACAAGCGCAGGCGTTTAGTTCCCCTTATTTGTTTATTTTATTGCGTTGCAGATTTTTTGGGATGGGGGGCCACGCTCAAACGTGGGGAGATGACACCAACGCCGTATTTTTTATATGATGCAAGTATTTTCTTGGTATTTACGAAAGAAAGATACATAAACAACGTCACGGAGAGAGAGGGGAGTGGGGTGGTATATAGGAACGAGGGAAGAACGGCACATAGGGGCGAGATTAGGCGTATATAGCAGGGTTTGAGGGTTCGAGGGTTTGATAGGAGATTTGGGGGGGGGATTGCTGAGATGGAAGGAATAGATATGATATGCTCCAATTTGCAGATCTTTTTTGAGAAATTGGGAGTGAAATGTTCTGTGACTAAATATATGGGGTTCACTTCTTATGGAGACGCTTCCGCTTCATTATATATTTTTATTTCATGTAAATAAATCCCATCTACTATTATATGAATGGTCCTAACAGCTGCTGAAATCTACCACCATGATTGAGTGAATATCTATACCAAGTCGCCCATTACCCCCCATATATTCTAAACCTACACCTAACTCCAGCCAAGATAATCATAAACCCCACACCCTCCCAAAGCTGCCAGCAGTATATTCAATCTATTACCCTACCACCCATCCCAAATACAGCCATCTCACCCCCTCTCTAAGCCAACCCAGGCGCGACAAAAAGCCTCTCCCTCTTCAAAAACAAACTCAACACAATCGCCAACGCGCCCGCCGTAATGCAAAGCACATACGCCTTACTCATCGCCTCAATAATCGCATCCAACACCTTCTGCCTCATCTCCAGCGGCAGCGACTGGACGAACTTACTTCCCACCCCAGCAATCGCGGACTGGATCTGATCACGCGGTACATCGGGCATGAGCTTCGCGATCCCCTCCTCCGCGCCGTTAAGGAATACCGAGTTCGCGATAGCGATGGAGATAGTGATACCTGTGATCTGCGCACAGGTGATGAAGCCCACCGCACTCGGGATTTCAGACGGCTTCACGGTGCCCTGAGCGACGGAGAAAGAGGCCTGGCAGAAGACGCCGACGCCGACGCCAAGGAGGACAGAAAAACCGTAGACTTGGGCGGCGGTGGAGGAGGAGTCAATGGTGTACATGAGGGCTGAGCCGATGACGAAGAGGATGCCGCCGCCGAGGTACCAGGGCATGTAGTACCCGTATTTGGAGAGGACGGCGCCGTTGACGATGCACCCGAAGACCATGAGGAAGATGTAGGGGAGGATGCGGACGCCGGCTTGGAGGGCGGTGTCGCCTTGGGTGAATTGGAAGAAGAGGGGGATCCTGGGTGGGGGTTAGTGGGTGTTCTGGGTGAAAGAGGAGGGGGGGGAGGTGGCTTACATGTAGAGCGGGACAACGATGCCGGTTGCGGCGGAGGAGGTCTCGGCGAATAGAAGGAGCATGGTTCGGCTTCTGAGGAACTGGACGGGGAAAATGCGTTGTTCGACTGTTGTGAAGATGGCGAGTTCTTGCTGGACGGCGAAGATGCCGAAGAGGGAGAAGGCGACGACGAAGCAGGCGATGATCTGCCCGCTGTTCCAGGCGTAGAGGATGCCGCCGAATGAGACGGCCATGATGAAGCTGACGAAAGCGCCCATGAGGATGACGGTTCCGACCCAGTCAAGTTCCTTGAAACGACGGAGAACTGGGACACCCTTGCGCGGGTCGGACTTGGGGAGCATGAAGAGGTATACTGGCGCGAAGGCACCGCCGATGACTAGGTTGATGTAGAATGCCCATCTCCATCCTGCGGAGGAGTCGGTGAAAGCGCCGCCGATTATGGGGCCGAGAACCGTGCCGATACCCCAGAGGAGACCAGTAAGACCGACGTACATGGGACGTTCCTGGAGGGAAGTGGTGACGGAGAGAAGGGTCATGACACCGACGTACATGCCACTTCCACCAACACCGGCAATGACACGACCGATGATGAGAGCGTTCATTGTCGGGGCTGCACCGCATAGGGCCGAGCCCACCTCAAAGATGACGAGAGAAATCAGATAGGTGATTTTCGCTTCCATTTGTCCATAAACCTTCCCCCATACCAAATTCGTCGAGGCTGAACCGATGAGGAAGGCTCCCGTGAGCCAGGGGAGCTTCTGGATATCCCCAAAGTTGGCAATGATGGCCGGCTGGATGTCGGCGACGACGGTGTTGTCGAGGGCGAAGAGGAAGATGGAGCTCAAAATGGCGACGACAACGAGTCCCCATTTCCAGCCTGTGATGTCTCGTACTGGTGCTGCGGCTTCGACAGCTTCCTGTTTTTCGTCGGCGACTGGGTCGATGTCGACGTCCGTTACGGACGTCCTCTTGGAGGCATCCTGGTCAATTGGCTTCTCAACGTTGAGATGGACGTCTGGAATCACCCCCTTCAAATCCTTAGTGGCAACATAGGTGTCTCCTGAAGTGGTCGACATGATGTGAGAGTCGACTGGTGGTAGGCGTTAAGGGGTATGCCTCGCTTGGTGATAATTGCACTGAGAGTCGGAAAACTTATACAGAGAAGACAAGAAAAGAACCCAGATCTAGGGAATCGAAGATAGATATATACATATGAGAAATTCACGTACAGCAATAACAGTGGCCCACATAACGAGAGCCTGTGGTTTGAAGAGAAAACCGCTTACTGTACTATATTGGATGACGAGTGGAGAACAACATGATGCAGACGGGTGTTAGATAAGCTCCGACGTTATCACCATCGGCGAAGAACTCTCAACCGTTCGTGCGAATCCCCTGCCAGCCTAACGCGCCTTACAAGCTATGCACGTTGGCGGCAGCGTCTCGGCGGAAGACGGCGGAGGGCACAGAGGGCATACAGTCACGTTGAGTGGAGTATGTAAGCGGCGACGACGATATGAAGTGGGTTCGGGGGAATGTTCAAGGGAGAAGGACCAGTGAACTTGGAGGATCCTACTAAGTGGAGTATGGGCTGTGAATAGGCTATGTACGGGATTAGCTAGGTTGAGGGTGAGGATGAGTAGAGGTTCAGAAAAGGGCGTGCCAAGACATAACGAAAGGGAAAAAGTGATAACGTTATGGTGTTGTACGTACTGCATACTGGGGTTAGTTGATGAGTAAGGCATTAAAGTTACCGGGAAAGGGCTAATAGTTATCCCATTCCTCTTCGATCCTGTCCAATCGACGTCCAGGGATCGTGGGGGAGGGTACGTACTATCGACAGCGTGGAGAGCATGGATGCCATGGACGAAAGACTCCCCGTGTCTCTAGTCACAATGAGACTAGAGACACGGTGCAATTCTACCCCGACTACATCACTCTCATTCTCATTCTCACCCTCACCACTCAACACTCACCACGCCGCATCACTAATCACCCACTCACCACTCACTCACCACTCACACTACTCAACACTCATATCTCACCACAAGCCACTGCATCTTACTCAGCGAAGAGTTTGCAAACCTAAAGTCTTAAACCCAACAGTAAATCCGAACAGTAAAGGTAATCTGGTCTCTATTTTGGGGGATCTGTAACGTTTCAGATGAGACTACATTCTAAACCCGCGCTCTCTGGGTCCGCTCATTAGACACCATCCAAGGCTACACCGAATACTCATCCACCGTCATCTGCATCAGTAGTGAATCTCTAACCTTCGCGACTTCCTCAAACCATTTCATATCCGTCTGGTGCCCAACCCTGAGCAGCTCTTGCTCTTCTTCCAGTATCGCATTAACCTTAGCACTCTGTTGGTCGTGCCTTGCCTCTCGCGCCAATTGGTGCATCTTCACCGTCCGTCTTGCCGCAGCTTTGCGCGCTACATTGATGAGATGCTCAGTGGGCTCCTTGCCTTGTCGCTTAAAGAATTCTGCGTATCTTGCCGTTTCTTCCTTCTCTCTTTTGAGTTCTACAGAGCTCTTGAGAATGCTGGGCCTTAATTCGTATGCTATTTGTTCGTCAATTGCTTTTGACATATCCATCTTTTTACCGGCTCCATTTATCATTTCATCAGTAAGTTCTATGCCGGCTCGTCTGAGCAGTATCAAATATTCGCCCACCATGCCATCCCTTTCCTCCAGAGACAGCGCACGGAAATAATCGTCGATCTCAGCTATCTCCTCTTTAGCTTCATCTTCAAGCACCCTGTTCTCCGCCTCGAAGCGATCGAAATTCGCAATCTGCTGGATAGAATGTACAAGGTCCATCTCTTCGCGCAGCATCTGTAATTTAGCCTCGAAATCCCGGGAACGGTCCTGCTCAGCCTCCCGCTCGGCCACCACTTTAAATGCCCTCTCTTCCGCAGCTCTCTGTGCCGGAGTTCTCTCCTCGGCACTGTCCAATAGATTCAAAACCTCTCTAAGTTCGTTGGCATGTTCGGTCTGGTCGGCTCGTACCTCCCTGTCTAGCGCTGCAAAGGCCGCCTGCCTAATCTGAGCCTGGGACGCTGCGGTTTCTCTCCGCCAGTCGGCGGAAATCAAGTATGCCTCTAGCTCGATCTCGGTACATGTACAAGTCTTCCATTTGAGGCCACACGTGTAACAGAACTGTGCCTTGCAGTGACAGGTCATGTGACTGCACCCCTGAGCATGCTCGACGAGGGCATTACATTTGTAGCAGCGGCGCCAGCCTGCATTGAGGGCACAGCGTATAGTCTCTCTCAGGGCGGGGTCATCGGGACATTCCCCATTTGAATGGTAAGGGCCTCGGCATACCATGCAGGTTTTGTGGCGGCATCGGGCACACCGTGCTAGCATTGAGTGTTTGTCAATTTTATGATGTGGAATCCAGGAACCGCATGAAGGTTTGGAGCAGTAGACTCGATCTTCGATTGCGATAGAGCGTTCTTCGAGCATGGTTTCGTATCGTGTCTTTAGCTTGCCATGGATGTGGTTCAGAATTGTGGCTTTTGGGACTTCATTTAGACAACATTTGGGTGGCCATGAGGTCTCTGTTGAAATCGAAGTCCTTGCAAAATATTAGTCTTTAACCTTAGCAGTATCAGTGGGAGAACTAGAAAAACCTACTCGATGAGAAGGATGAAGCATGGGCTGCAGTAATCATGGCACGTCATATGGACCGTTTCTTTAATGTCAAAATCTTCCATACATGATACACATTCCCTAGTCATTGTCAGCTTGATCCCCCGGAGTTGACAGCAAACATACACCGTCTTTGGAATAGACTCCGAAGTACTTCTGGATAAGATACCACGGCTTGATTGGCTCCTTGGCTTAAACACGGTCGCCATATATGGTCGGAGGAGACGAAGACCCCATTTACGTGACGAGGAACTCCCTATATCCGATGGTGGGAACCCCACAGATGTGGGAGAACCCTTCGTAGCAGCTGGCAGTCTCGCCGCGGCTGCTGAAGAAGACTCTGTATACGCTGGAGGGCCCCTTCGGAATACTGACCGACTCCCTTGAAGCGCTTCGCGAGCTGGTGGACTGACCATAGGCGATGCGGGGATTTCAGCTGGTGCTGCTGGTTTCTTTGGAGCCGATGTAGATATGTGCCCCTGGGTCTGGAGAGGTGGGGCAATGACATTCGGTTGGCCACCACTGCCATTGCCAAAGCCGTTGCGTGATGAGGTCGGTTGGGAGTTCTGCATTCAATCAGTACATGTATGGCAAAAAGTTTGCTTCCATAAACTTACAACCATTGGCAGATTCTCCTGGGGTTCTTGCTTGCTTTTCCCCTTCCCCTTTGACTTGTTTGCCGAAGAACTATCATTTCGTCGGTGCCCAGAGGGATTTCCTACAGTGAGTCCCGAGGTCTCCGCAGCAAGGTCTCCCTGTTCCAAATTATGCTCGTCTGCAGCAAGCTGTTGCTGTCGTTGCAGCTTCCCCCCTGTTGCAGTGAATTCCCGTTCCGAGCGCTCCTTCAATATGGAAAGCAGATGCCGTTCCTGTTGTTGTTGGAAACTATTTTCTACAGCGGCAACTCGTTTTAGTTCCAGGCGGTTCCTCTCTTCTGCGAGTTGTTGTTGCCGTTCTAGGCGAGCTTCGTATGCAAACAACGCTTGAAGTTGCTCTATGGAACTTTCCAGTATACTTTCGATCTCATGCGAGGTTCCAGGCGGACTGTGTAATAGTTCTGGAGGTGGAAGAGAGATTTTCCATCTCTGGTCAGGCAAGTTAGCAATTGAGAGATTGTCACTCATCGTGCTCTCTTCCGTTGTTGCGAATGTTCCAGGGACTGTTTTGTGTTATATGTAGAGCTGCACACGTTGGGAATCCCTTGTAATGAACAAGTCTGTTAATAAATTGAGACGTGCTCCTGATTTCTAAGGAAAGTTGCTTTGTGTATGGCAGTAGGAATGACGGATGAGGTGAGTGACAGTGTGGAAAATGTGAGAAGAGTAACGATTGTAGTATTGTTTGTAGTGTTGAAAAGAAAGAAAGCCAAACATGACAACCAGATGGAACGTAAATTCCTCGTCTGAGAACCCATGTAAATGCGCAGACAAAGGGAGGCAAGGATCGCACGATACTTTCCCAATGTTGAACAAACGAATACTAGTAGGTCTACATGTCAGGGCAGACAAGACTAGCTATATCACCCCACACGATGAGGCCAGCACCCCATTATTTGCACCACCACCATTCATCTGACTAGAGCTATGCACAAGGCAGATCAGGTCGGACATGTACACCATCCTCACCAATATGCTATAGTGTTGTGGCTGAACCGTGACCCTTAACACAGCCAAATCACGGGCAGTTGCTCCGAGACTTGGTATCTAGACATCTTCAGCCTCAAGCACCGCATCGATATATGTATTAGACGATCCGTAAATTGCACAACACGTGATTATCTGTTCTCTAAGTCTGATTTGACTTCATTTTTGGGAGTCCGCGCACTTTTGGTATCATCAGCGCGAATCTGCGCAAGATTAATCTCATCGAGCTTCTAGATACATCACCACCAAAATCTTGAATATCTTAAGCCTCATTTTCTAAGTCTATACAATTCTGGTTCCATTAGCGCCATATGTACGGAAGATTGGTCGCATCTTACTACCTAAATCCTAAATATCTTAAGCTTCATTTTTAAGAACCTGCCCACGTAGGCAATTCTAGCGTATTTAGCATCACTTTCTAAATCTGCGCACTTTTAGCTCTAGTAGCGCCAATCTGCGCAAGAATGTTCGCATCGAGGTTGTAAACATCTCACCACCTAGATTTTGAATATTTTGGGCTTCACTTTTTAAGAATCCGCCCACGCCAATTTTCAGAAAACCGTAATTTCAAAGTAATCAAGAATTAAATTTCATTCCTAGTTTTCAGAAACCACATGGCTACTAACAGTGACTGTACGCTTCTCCAACCCTCTCGATCACTGTCCCACACTTTTCCCCCCTCAGTTCTTAAAAGGCTGGCGCTATGTAGGGACCCCTGAGATAGCTCGGAACCTAAGCCGCTGGGAACATGTCATGACGCGTATGGGGCAGGAGAGCACCCAGATTCTACTAGGCACCCACACGATGAGAAACCACAGTTAGGCTACCACAGCAGTCGTTCGATTCCCTGGAACTACTGGCAATAGTGGCAAACCAGTGGAGAATGGTGCGTCAACTAGTCAACAGATTTTGCCTCTAATAAGGCCCTGATCAAAGGGGCACCGCTTATTATTACAGCTACAACGTTGGCACTGGGCCCGCGTATAAATGGGACCATGAGGGAGCAACATGCTGGTCTGGACATAAAGGGGCTGAAGAGGACAAGAAAGGGGTATAATATTGCCCGTATGTGAATTATCTATCTGCCAAAACGCATCTGCGCATTTGCGTAATTATACAAGGCGCGGAGAAACACTTGGTATCCAACTCCCTGGTTATCCTGCACGTTATAGATCTCGGTGAGGCTGACTTGCCACGGTGGGTAGCCGTCGAGTTCAATTGTTGGTCCGAACAAAATGAGTAGCTCAGGTCCGCTCATGACACTCTCGGAGAGCTCGGCATCCACCAAGTCGACGGTAATATCCTTGGGTGTAATCTTCGAACGTTGAGACATCTCGGTAAGAGTCTTGGTCAAGTCGACAATGGAGTCCTCGCCGTCCTCTTCGGAGATCAAGAGTACTGAGAGTTGACCCAGAGATACCGGGACATCGGCATCGCTTGGTGGCGTAGTCGGGGACGACTCCATGGATGGAATGTGCGGCGCACGGATAGACAGTGCAGGGTGTTGACGACCGAAATATGACGAAAGCTTCCGAGTGACGGCCCTGTGGGTTGTTGGAATGTATCCTTTTAGGACGCCTAAAGGAGTTAGAAACTGGAATGTAGCATGTGATGGCAATACATACCTGTCCTCTCGTAGACTGAGAGCATGGGGATTCCAACGCATGCGCACCACGCGCAAACCTCAGCCACTTCATCTAACAGAGTCTCAAGCGCAGCACCCCCCTTTCCCTCCTCCAGCTTCAGTATCACACTCAAGTGTTCCGGCAATCTCTTCAGCCCCTTCACATCCTTCTGAATGAGCGCTGGCGTCCGGTGATGGTAGTAGAGGACAGCGAAGGTTCGATCCCTGACAGTATGATATGCTTGTCGAAACCGTATATATATAGAGAAAATAGTGTGTATAATCGCAAACACGAGGACATGCAGTTGATGTTTGAGGAACTTCCGCACGCCAATTATCGGTCTCGGCTGGTTACGGAGCGTTCGTTCATCTGAGTCCCCATTGCCCGACTTTGATCGCGAAGGTGGTTCCGGAAGATATGGCTGGCTTCATGTTAGATCTGGAATTCGCATTGCTGACAGCGTGGCGACTTACGGCTATAAGTTTCTCTCGTTCCGCCGGCGTTAACAGATTATGGTTGCTTTTAGCATCTTTCCGGTAGATCTTCAGTTCTCTTGTTGCTTGAGACATCTGGGAGTCTTTGGAATGTCGTCCAAGTCGAATTAGGCGGCTGGTGGTACAGTTATAATACAGCGCAAGGCCTGGCCGGTCAACGAACTCGAGGTTGCCTCGGATAGAAAGATGACGTCCCCCAAACTGGATGGCAGCGTCGGTTGCTTGGCGTGCCTATCTTTGCAGGGGGGCGAGTTTGATGACAACGTGTATGTACAGTGTGGCTGAGTGTGGAACCCGGCAGTCAAGACAGGCGTATACACGGAGGCTGAGGTACGTTGGGCTTCAAACAAAAATAAATCCGAGCCCTGTGATCTTCTTGACTACGCAAGCGTCTATTATTTATTGCGGTTGACATCAGCGGTACGTGCCGAGAATTGCTAGGCTGTTTTGGGTTGAGATAGCTCGAGATTGGGGTTCCGCATGGTTTCATGCCCAGGCCATGGACGATAGACGATAGACGATAAACACAAATACCAGGAAACAAGTGACCCTTCAGAATCACTGGTGATTCCGAAACCCTGACCAATGCTGAGGGCCGAACAACTGCTTGTGGGATCCTGAAGCTTCTGAGCTTCTTCGGGTCCAATGGCGGGAGCCCCTCCAACTGGCAGGTCCATATTCCCACGCGGGCCCAACTTCAACTTGGAGACCTTTTCCGACACCAACTTCATTGTGAAAGATTTTGTTGAGAGCCTCTCGGAGAGCACGATACCAATCAATCGTCGATCTGCGCCAGCATCACAGCAAGCTTTCGATCCCAAACCTTTGATCCGCGCGTTTGAGGGTACGTGTTCCTTATAGCTGTCCATTGGCTGTGACTGACACTGATATGTATAGGCGCATTGTCGCAGCTTGCGACCCTATCGGACGATTTAGAAGAGCGCGAGACAGAGCTCCAAACAGCGGTGCGACGAGCAGAAATTGAACATGAGAAAACGCTGGACAGCCTTGGGAGGAAACTGGACCAATCTATAAACTCATACGAAAAACTCGAGGGATCCTTAAACCAAGGAGGGGTACAAGAGAGCGAACGGAACAGTCAAACAGATGCAGGAGGGAATGTTGCCGTCCAACTCGGCGAGAAGCTGGAGGATTTGGACAAGCAGCGAAGGCGTGCACTGGACGCCCAATTCTTGATACAGTGCTGGCTCGAGGTGAGCGACACTGGCGAGCTCACATCCTTGGAGGAAGTGCGAAGACAAGGAAATGGAGAAGGCAAAGTCCGATGCGCCGTCATAGCCAGGCAACTTATGAGGATCAGCCAGAGGCTTGATCCGAAATCATGGCGGCAAGCAAACACAGGAAAGAAATTGAAAGTGGCTGTGGATGAGCCTGAGGAGCGCGGTGGATACAATACGAAAGAGCTGATAGAGAAGTTCTCAGAAACATTGGAGAAGGACCTTCTCACGCAGTTTGATGTAAGTTATCGGAAGCAGAACTACGACAATATGATGGAATGCGCCAAAGTGCTACGGGACTTCAATGGCGGTTCCAGTGTCGTGGCTTTGTTTGTCAATCAACATCAGTTCTTTATCGATAGGAACCAACTGATTACAGAAGAGGTGGTAACTGATGGCGACACCTGGGAACGGCTTGCGGATCCAGATGTAGAACCTCCAGGCGTTGAACCCAGCTTGCAATCTCTAGTTGACGAAGTCAAGATCGTTATGCAGGAGGAGTCATTCATCATGAAGCGCGCATTCCCATATTATGATGTGGTGCTCGCAAAATTTACCCAAAGAGTGTTCCAGCAATCTATACAACAAAGGCTGGAAATGGTATTGGAGAATGCGGATACTATCTCATCCCTAGCATTCCTACGGTCACTACACGCCTCGAGAGCCTATATTAACAGCCTTGTCGAAGATTTAAAATCACACGGCCTTACTGAACACCCTGATTCCTGCTCTGCGGCAACAACACTGGTGCTGGAACAACAGGTCGATGAGCTCTTCATCCCCTACCTTGTTGGCTCATCATACATCGACCGAGAATGCCGGAGTCTAGAAGAGCTTTACTCCTCCTTGTTGTTCAAATTTACTATATACCACTCCAGGCGGAAGAAGACTCCCACCGGATTCATGGCATCATTAGCCCAGCAGGGCACTCAGCTACTGGCGACCGCCAAAGACGCCTATATTGACCGACTTGATTCATCCGAGCTTACACCAACTCAGAAAGCCATGATGTTGAGAGTTGCCGGCTTAAAAGGAAACGAAAACAAGAACGAAATTGAAGTCTCGGAGGAGGATGGAGTTCTGAGCATCCCTAATGCAAAGCGCATGCTAAAGTGGCTTGCGGAAGGCGTTCGAAGAGCTCTTGAGCTTAGTGGCGGCAGCGACACCCCGAAAGATGTCTCTGTTCTTCTGACTATGCTTTTGACGAGCATGGGACAGGTGTACGTGGAGACTGCCTTAGACGCTGCAAACGACCAAGGGTTAGCACAGGAATCGTCGAAGATAGAACCTGACCTTGCATATTTCCCAGCATTACGACAAGCAATCACTATTACAAACCTGATGAACCGATTCATTAACACGGTTCTGATCCGCCTCGCTGAAACCAACACGACTGTCCGACGTGACATGGAAAACAAGACAAAAGAGGCTGTGAAGCGTATGGAAGACAAGACAAGTGCCGTCATCCAAAAAACCATTGATGTTGTTGCCAGCTGGGTCACCAAGGTTCTCGCTAGCCAGAAGAAATTAGACTTCCGTCCTCGGGATGCTGACCTCGATATCGGCCGTGGCGGAACCAGTTACCTCGAGCAGCTGCAAACTCCTACCTGCGCAGCTATATGCACATTTCTTACCAAGACCAACCATGTCGCGGCTCAGGCTCTCGACGGCCAAAACTTTGAGATTTTTAACTCCGAGCTAGCCATCTGCATTCGCGATCTCCTCTTCGAACATTTCAAGAAGTTCCAGGTCAACGCCACTGGTGGACTGATGGTAACCAAGGATATGTCTAAGTATACATCTACTCTGAAGGAGTGGCGATTAAAGAAGGATGTCGAGAGCAGTTTGGACATTCTAAGCGACATAGGCAGCATATTCATTATCGGCTCAGAGGCTCTCAGGGAGAGGTCGAAGAACATCCAAACAGGGCCTATGAACAAGGGCCTTGATAAGCCGGATTTCCGGGCCTTTGTGAGCAAGAGAGATGATTCGAATAGTCTTGGCATTCAAAAGGTGCTCGCCGGTCTATAGATTGGCTTATGATGGGTGGCGTTTGGATAGGACTGGGGCCACGGATGGGGGTGCACGGCGCACTGGACATGAGAAAAATGATCTGTTTAACCATTTGTATAAAACACATGTTATAGTTGAGATTGAACTTCCTTTCGATCCTATTCTGAATACCCGATGTTGTACAGCCCTGCCATTTCTAGTTTCCCCATACGCCAATTGTAGTTTCCCTTGCTATGTATATTACACTATGCCGCTGCATCCGATTTGTTGTACACCTGGTTTTGTGCGCTTACGGCAGGTTGAAGCCGAAGCTTGCCATGCAGCTCTTGTACTTGTCGATCGTGGTAGCGCAGTCCTTCTGAGCGTCGTTGGATTTGCTGAAGAGCATGCACTCATCACGGATGGCCTTTTCCTCTTTGCATACGCAGCATGGCTATGGAATATTAGCCCTGTCGGTAGTTATGGGGATAAGGTGAGCTTCATACCTTCGGCTTGCTTTCCGACTTGAGTGGCGCCGCGATGGTCGCGCTGGATGTGGATGCTTTCAAACAGTCAGTAATCATACTTCCATAGGCAATTGATTGGACTCACGGAGCTGGATTGATGCTGAAGACATTGTGGCTTTCTATTTCTCGATAGTTATTGTATGTTGATGTGAGCAAGTTTTCTGGATGGATATATGGCGGCATTAGCTAATTTGTCAGCCTGGTCACTGGTAGCCTCGGGGCGTCTCCTCGGCCACGGAAAAATGAATTCCCCTGAATTGGGCACTGTCATTAAAGTTATGCGCCATCAGATACGGCTACCCCACCAACCAAAACTACCCCCCCTTTGCAAGTCAACAGACCGACTTTTTCCACAACCTCATAACACTTTCAAGATCGCGAGACTTATTCCTGTCCTAACGCACATCCCTTTGAATAACGCGAAAAATGGCGAACGCAACCAAGGTTTTCTCCCTCGAGGGCAAGGGCATCAAGTTCAACACCGCCGAAGATGTAGAACCTCACATCAAAGCTCTCCGCGAGATGGACGACGTGGAGGAGGTGCGCCTTCAAGGCAACACCGTCGGAATCGAAGCCGCCGCCGCCTTCGCTGACGTTTTCCGCACCAAGAAGACTCTCCAAGTAAGTCCCCCCACCTTCCTTCTCCCACCATACCAGACCCCTAACACAACCCCACCAGGTCGCCAACCTCGCCGACATCTTCACCGGCCGCCTCCTCTCTGAGATCCCCACCGCCCTCTCCTCCCTGCTCACCTCCCTCCTCGAGCTCCCCAACCTCCACACCGTAAACCTCAACGACAACGCCTTTGGCCTGAACATGCAAGCGCCCCTCGTCGCCTTCCTCTCCTCACACACACCCCTTCGCCACCTGTACCTCAACAACAACGGCCTCGGCCCCCACGCTGGAATCATGGTCGCCGATGCGCTGTCCGAGTTGCACGCCAAGAAGGTCGCCGCGCGCGCGGCAGGCACCGATGTCCCAGATCTCGAGACTGTGATCTGTGGCCGTAACAGACTTGAGAGCGGGTCTATGCTCGCGTGGGCCAAGGCGTTCAGCTTGCACACGGGCGTTCAGGAGGTGAAGATGGTGCAGAATGGGATTCGTACTGAGGGGACTGTGCACCTGATCTCCGACGGTTTGCGCCACGCTAAGGGCCTCCGCGTGCTTGATCTGCAGGATAACCTTTTCACAATTCTGGGAGCGAGAGCGCTTGCCAAGGCTGTAACGGGATGGGAGGATATTGAGGAGATTGGAGCGAGCGATACGCTTTGGGGCGCTAGGGGAGGTGTGGTGTTGGCGCAGGCGTTGGCGGGTGGCAAGAACAAGAAGTTGCATACGTTGAGGATGCAGTATAATGATATTAACGCGAAGGGGCTGAAGGTGTTGACGGAGACGATTAAGTTGGCGCTGCCGGCGATGAAGAGGGTGGAGTTGAATGGGAATAAGTTCTCGGAGGATGATTGGGCGCTTCAGGAGCTGAGGGAGCTGTTGGAGGAGAGGAAGGAGAAGTTTGGGGGAGATGTGGTGGTTGAAGATGATTGGGGAATTGATGAGTTGGATGAGCTTGATAGTGATGAGGAAGAGGAGGAAGAAGAAGAGGAGGAGGAGGAAGAGGCTGAGGAGAGGAGAGAGAAGCTGATTGAGGAGCAAGAGGAGGCTCAAGAAGAGCCGGTGATCCAGAAGAAGGATAAGGAGGTGGATGAGTTGGCGGAGGCGCTGGCTAAGAAGGTTGAGATCTAGACGAGACAGGCATTCGAAGATGAGAAGTAGATACAGGCATACGATGAAGGGTCCTGATGGCGTTGTGTAAATGTCGGTGTTGGTTTGGCCAGGAGATGGGGCCTTTTTTGCGTTTAGCGTAGATGAAATGCATATATCATAAAATTCAACAGACGCGAGCGCATCAGGAACTATAACTACTATTTACGTGCTTGTGAATAAACGCTGCAAGCCGGTGACCGGCTATGGGAGGTTTGCTAGTCAAACATAATAAAAAAGAAACAGTGGGGAAATAACAATAAAATTTGGTGGAAGATATTATTATATTCAAAGCACCAATCCTTTATTCTAACCCCTTCCCCATTTATACCTTCGCAAAAGCAACCTCAGCCGGTATCCTAAAACTCGCGCAAAACATCCTCTTCAACGGCGCCACATCCCTCACATCATGCACCCTGACCCTCCCCTCCGCCACCTCCCCCACCGCCTCCTTCCTCTTCCTCGGATCCCCTTCCACCTTCTCCACCGCCCCCTCAAACTCCATCTTCGTCCCAAGCATCTCACTCACGATCCCCGAGATCTCAATCCCCTCCTTCACATTATCCTCCGACTTGGTGGAAAAGCAGTGGACGTGCACCATCGGCAGCTTTGTCGACGTGTGCGGCGCGAAGAGAGACTCGTGGCCGGCGTAGATGCCGCGGAAGGCGGGGAGGAAGGTAAGGGCTGTGGCGGGGAGGTTCATGACGAAGTGCGAGATTGTTTGTGGGATCTCGATGGAGGTGGGTGGGATGGGGTCGGGGCGGACTTTTTGGGAGCGCGACATACGCGGTTGTTTGGAGGGGATGGAAACTTTGTTCTCCCCGGCCTTAGAGAGCGCAAGCAGGTCTTGCGCGCACTGGTGGATGAATTTGTGCCCGTCTGTGTTGAAAGCGCGGATGTAGGGTTCGACTTTATTCAAAGTCGTAGCATCGCGCAGGGCAGCGATACTGGCGGGGTTAAGATCATTAGCCCAGACAAAGACGCCCTTCTTCGCAGCGGGGAGCGCGAACGGGCCTACGCCCGCCATAACATCGCAGACTACCGATCCGGGGTCGAAGAGAGCGACGAGGCGGCGGTGCTCGGTGTTCAGCCGGCTGTTCCAGTAGACCTGCGAGTAGTCGAAGCGGAAGGTGCAGTCTTCCTCGCGGATCTCGACGTTGAGGTCGTCAACGCCGGCGAGGAGCTCGTAGCTGAAGGTGCGGAACTCGGATTTGTCCCCGACGTCGTCGATTTTGTTGATTACGGTGCGGATGGTGGGGTTCTTGTCCATGAGGACTTCGGCGATGAGGTTCTTGAAGGGGAGGTAGGCTTCGCGGATGTTGAGGTGGGCTGAGGACGTGTCAGTTTTGGTCTTATAGATAAAGGGGTAGGGGAACATACCGACGTGTCCGACTATGCTGAAGCCGACTGGGATCTCTTCTTGTGAGTCTTCTGGTAAGATGGATTTCATGATATCAACTAGACACTGTCAGTACGCAACCCCTGTCTGCCCCGCGCCAACGCACTTACGGTAGTTCCAGTAATTATAATCCAACGTCAACTCATACGGCATAACACTCATCTCCTTCGCCTCCACAGCCTGCTTCAAGATAGCACTCCATGTCGTAGGATCCTCAGGCTTAACCTCTGGCTTAAGAAGCAAGCACTTCCCCCCCTTCGCCGCAAGCGCTGGATCCGGGTCCTCTCTAACCGCAGAAACCCTATCCACCCTCAACAACTCCTTGCTCTTGTCTAGCTTTCCCCTCGACGCCGATATGAGTTTATGATCCGTTATCCTTGCCGCAGCAATAGGGAATGTCCGTGTGAAGAGGGTCCGATCCAGGACAGCGGCGGCGGATCGGACGATAGGGGGCCGGAACATGTCGTTTGCGCTGGCACTTTCGACTGACTGCCGCCCATATTAGCCCTGGTCCCAGAAACGGTATTAAAAATACTTACCATTGTATTTATGAGGAGTAGTTGTTCTCGGCGCGGCGACAGCGCATCTCCAAGAAATTTGGCCTTGCGTTCGGCGAGGCTGACGCGCTAGTCGCGAGGCTGTGGAAATATTTCTTCAGCCTCGAGTTAGAGGCCACGACGGCGGCGACAAGGGGTGAAACGACGTATCATTTTAACAGGACTCGGGGAAGATGCAAGCCTGTGCCGTGCTCCATCGTGGGGTACAGTATACTGGAGAAGCGGATTCAAGCATGTAGGGCTACAGTAGCATATCCGCGAGAGACACGGGGTGGCGTCAACCTGCATCGTTACTATTTACAGTTACTGTGTCGTATTTTAAGACCTACAGCCACCTCATCAAGACAAATCGCAGTGTTTCAAATCACAACAACATCTGTGAAACCGGAAGTGAGCAATTCCAGTTAATTGATTTCTGAAACGAGAATCTCCCTCATTCCAACGGGTTGCTGCTATCCCGACCGACCACTCCCTCCCTACATGGGCCGGCTCAATACTATGATACATCATGGCTCCCTCCGTCAACCACCAAATAAACGGAAAACAAACAAAGTTTTAAATACATGAAGAGGTAAGTTTTTGCGCCACCATGCATGGAACAGCCCATCTAAAACTCCCAAACCAAACACCCAGAATGAAGGGCGGGTCCAACACGCGTCGCATCGTGCATGCGATGGGACGTGGACGCGAAGTGAGTCAAGAAAGTGAAACAGCGGAAAGGAAGATAAAATTTGCATCTTTAATGCCCGGCGCGTGAGAGAGCGCGTTTCCCTTTTGATCGATCATTTGAAGGCGTGCTCGTTGATGTTCCAGCCAGATTATGGATTATATGGTACAAGAAGGTAGGCGTTATTGACGTGGTATATTTGCGAACAAGGCGTGGGTATCATGACCCGTCGAGGGCCGACAATGCGAGAACATATAACAAAAGTGTCGCCGTGGGGAGAAAGGAGTGTCTTGGTGCGTATATAGGTTTGTGTGAGGCTCCCGAGACTAGCTCATCACAGCCTTACTTTCTGCCCAGTCAACTTGAACCAGATAACGGCGACAATCTCCTCCTTGAACAGCTCCCATGGGTTGCGGTTAAGCAGGTTGCTCAGTTCTCGGTAGTTGTACATCTCTCCCCAGCAATCGCGTCCCCACTCGCAGCCTGCCATGTTGACTAGGAAATCACGGCCCTTTCGGTCGTAGTGAATTAGAGGATCGTTGCCGTGGCTGTTGCAGGCGTCAGGCGGGAATGAGTTTGCTTTGCGTTGTTCGATGAATGCAGTGTGTGGCCTGATCCACGGCTGAGCGGAGTACATGAACTCCAAGGCATCCTGTTCCTTGTGCTCCCATTCCATGTGCTTCTGCTCGTAGGCTACCGGGTCCCACCAGACGTCAAGCAGGCGGTCGGTCCATGGGCTGCGCTTGACGAAGAAGGAGCCAAGGTTGAAGCCACTGCAATCTTGCGGCACTACCAAGTTGATAGAATTGGCCTTTCCGTCGCCGACGGGAGACAATGATTTCTCGTCCAGGTATTTATCGGTGAACGGATGGCTGATGTTGAGCGGGTTGTAGTGGTTAATATCTCGGTAGGTGTTGGCTGCGAGGTTGTTGAAGATGTGGGACTGGAGGGAGTAGGATGGCTCCATAATAAACGTATTCAAGTCCAGCCACCAGAACCTATATCTGTCAGTAAATCAAAGCTGCGTAATATCGGAGTATCACCCACCATTCAGCATCAGGGTACTTTGTCAAGCAGTTCCTGATGGTGTCCACCTTCTCCCAGCTCTCTCGCCATTCATGTGCGTATCGTTTCTTCGTGCTCATATCCACAATCTCCAAGTCGTAACCCCATCTCGCCGCGTATCTGCGCTTATTTCGTATGCTGTCTCGTTCAATCGCCCATTCGCGAGGGCCCTTCCATTCCATCACTCCTCCTCCTTGGTTTGCTGCCAATATAATGACAAACTTCTTACCGCCTCCCAATAAAGGCGCTCTACGCCAGTAGTAATGCAACGCTGTGTAACTGTCAGTACTCGCCAGATCGACCAATTTTCACAATAACTTACGAGTCGTGTAAAAGAGAATCGTTGCGAAGATCAGTCCAAAGACGATCAAAAAGCGAAGTCTGAACTTCTGAAATGTGTTTATGGAAAAGTTTGCCAATCGGCCGAGTTTGCTGCTCCTGTTGGGCATCCACCGCCCACGGCCCAGCTTCTCCTTCTCAGCGTACTTCGAATCGTCTGGGGTGATCACGAATTTGGGCAAGCTAGTTGAGATGTTGCGCATGTGTCTGCTGAAAAAGCCATTGTTCTGTGTCGAGAAGGAGGGATACCCGCCATTGACTTTCGAGCTCTTTTTCCTTGCGCCATCCCACGTCACGCTGTTAGTGTTCGCATTCGCCCCGCGCAATCCAGTGGCAGGACTTGCCCGCCCGCTCGTTTCGACATAATTTGTCGTGAGCCCAGGGCTGGACCATCCGCCGTCCTCGTTGGGAGACGGCGACCGTGAGAGCGACATCGAGGGATTGGGTGTGCCTGCTCGTGTTTGTTAGCTACAGCTTCTGCGAAAATGGTTTGTTGTCGCTGGGGGTGGGAGTTGACGTGCCTGGAATGGGAGAGAGAGAAGAGCCTCCGCCGCGCCCTCGTGCTGAAGCGTCGTTCGCGTCCTGGACGTTGAGAGTCTGTGGAATGTGAGGAATGCCAGCAGCAGCTGATGATCTCCGTCGCCGATGTGAGAAAGATGAAACTTGCGACGAAGACGACGTCGAGACGGGAGTGGAGGTAGCCAGAGCGAAGGCTGAGAGATACACCAGAGGGTCGGGGACCGTCTGGTGGTTGTCGCTGTGGCTGATGGGATAGTATGTAGTGCTCACAGCACGAACACAAAAGATAAGCGACTGCGACTACGTACGCCTTGTACTCGGGGCAAGTCGAGTATGGGGGGGAAGCAGGGGTGTAGGTTCCGGTCGATAGAAGCCGTATCGTATCGACGTACAGTATGTACAGTTGGCGCGGAGTTTGCAGTAGTGATGTCTCTGGTGTGTCTAGCGGAACTATAGCGAAACTTATGATCGGGTTCAGGTGAGATAAGAGTAGGGTACAATGTTGAAAGCGGAGGAAGAAAAAGGGCTTTCGAGGCTGTATATGTCTATCTCCTCTTTTTCCCACTTCAGATACTTTTCCTGTACGAGGGAGGAGAGAGTAGTAGTAGTAGTACTATAGTACTATAGTGCGGTAATCGTCGCAAGGGGTTAGAGTGACAGTGAGTGGCCAGATGTCGATGGTGGGATTTTGGGCGCTGTGGGTGCTCATGGGTGCTAATGGGTGCTAATGGGTGCTGTGGCTTTCGTATTCGACCGCTTTTTGCAAGGCTAGTAGGGCTAGGACTACTCCAGTATGGACGATGATGGACGTTGGACGAGTAGTAATCGAGTTGGCTGGAGCTGTTATGGAGTGTATGGAGTAGTATGATTGATTACTACTAGTATGGCGTAGTATAGTATGGGCGTGGTAGTATGGATGTTGCGATCAGCCCGCAGCTAGAGGTACATTACGAAAGTAAGAGTACATCCAATGATTGCAATGCTTTTATCCCCTCAATCCCCCCAACGAGCTTATCGGCAGAGCAACACGAGAGAAACTGAAATTGCAAATGTTAAGTAAGTATAATGTAATGTGGTCGGGCTACACTTTTATATGTACGGGGTAGGGGGGGAATAAGGTAAGTAAGTAATAACACAGTATCTCAATTACAGATTGACAAAAAGGCAAAAGGATAAGAGAATCAGAGATGCACATTAAATGGAGAGCAGACATACATACTCTATAGGGATTGAAAGTATCCGCTCCCAACATTAGCATCTCCTTTTCTCTAGACACAACGAGATTACTTTTTGTTTTTTTTGTGGTCGATTGGCAAAAGACCTAATCTAGCTTACATGGTTGTTTTCGCCGAGAGCGGCATTTTACTGGTAGACCAGGGGGAGTAACAGCCCAAATATTACGGTAAGCGGAGAGAATGCCATCCCCTATTTCCACACAAATACCGCCCGTGGACCATGCCCTGGACTCCTTTCCCAGCTCTGACAGAAGCAAAGGCTGTTTTGTGGACACCGCTGCTCTCATTTGCTACTTGGCGGTGTCCACGCCGTGCTTGGTATATCGATCGTCATTTCGTCCCCATGCATGGGGACGAGAAATTGAAGCGCCACAAGTAGCTTCCTCTAATTTCCTCAAAATCTTACTTCTTTTTCTGCCCACGATGACACGGGGGAGTTAATTGGCAGAAAATGTGGACAGCAAGTGAATTACATATCTGACTTGGAAACTGTAGTACTGTAGTGCTGTAAACTGCCAACAGTCGGACAGGCAGTGGACACGTCTTCCTCTGCGCTGCTGTTTGATACCGTGAGGTGGCCAAGTATGACAATAATGGAGATGGTAGTGAAACGTTTCGAGGATAGTCATGTGACTATTGTTCCTTGGTAAGACCAACCTGAGTCTTGGGTTCACTCACAGCCAAGGACCGGCTGTAGATACTTACTCCATCAGTACGAGCGTGTCTCGGTGGGATCAACATGGCAAAGCGGCAAAAGTCTCGGCGAAGGGACAAGTCCGTCGTTCTTTCCTTTCTAGCCGCCTCACGCTTCCACGTGCACATCTAGTAAATAAAAGGAAAGTGACGGCGCGTAACTAGATATTGCAGTACTGCAATGGTATATGGATAGTGAGCCGGCAATGGCAGTAACTGACATTAGATCGACTGATCGTTGTCTTTCAGAGCTTCGTCATCACGTGAGATACCACTCTTAACTGTGCAACAGTTGTGGACCAAGTAAGGCTGCAACACACAAAATTGCTTCCAGCCCTCTATTTCTGGCTCCTCGAATCCTTCTTCGCCATGGTCTGGCCACTCTCTACTCCGTATATTGTGTATGATGAGCATGAAAGACTCGCGACCAATCACGTACCTCGTTGACCTGTCATGGAGAATTGACAACAGGCATGGGCCAAATGTTTGGGCGGCTAAGCGCCAACCATTGGCCACTCTAACATGACCTTAAGCCCCATACAGATGGCCGGCGCGTATGTCGACCTCACCTCCTACAATCAGCGTCAAACACACGGCCTGACGGATGGCCTTTTGGCCACTGAGTACGCGGCGATTGTCGCTGTGTGCTATGGATAGAATAAGTATGGATCAGGTGGGACAAGTCGCTCTTTTCCTTCTTTCGTGCATAGCTAGAGCGTAGACGCGTCCCAGGCATTTCAAAACCGTGACTCCGAACGCCATTGATTGCTCTTTCATCTCTCTTCTTAAAACTTCATCCTGACCTTTGTTGCGTGGCCTTGTTACGAGTGTGCTCTTTCTTTCCTTTCCTTGTCTCTGTCTCTGTGTTGCCTCTTTTCGCCTGATCATGGCAAGCCTCAACAAACAATAGCCTGCGACAATAGGAACTCCTCCCCCAATACCTTTCGTTTATTCAATAGCTTTGTTCTCTGGCACGCCTACCATTTGGCTCGAGACCCCCGCTCTTTACTCAATATATTCTCGATACTTTCAATCTTCGTTTCAGTCAGACTTAGACAGTCAATTAAAGCATCACTCATGTCGATTCACACACATTCACTTCTATAACAACAAACACAACCAAGACAACCTGTTTCCCTTGCTCTACCGAAGCCCTGACTTGCTCCGACAATAGCTTTGATAGCTACTCAACTCGCCATTCAAACTATCACATACTTGGGATCCAAGGCCAATATGTCAAACACTTCACGACTACAAGTGGCTCAGCCAAAACCTGGTGCCAACTCACATTGCGACAACCAAAGCAACCCATTTGATACTCCCTTTGATGAGCTGGACTGGGATGAAGAATCTCTCGACGAGAATGGCCGTGATACGAATTTCCCAGACGACAAATCCGACGTTTCTCGCATGACACAATGGCCGACATTTTCTAACTTACCAGCACCGCCGATGCCACAGAAGCCCCAAATGAAGACCCGAAAGTCAGTAAAGCGGTCTTCAGTAATCAAGCCCACGAGAGAAAAGTCAAAGCAACGTCAAAAGAAACAGAACGAGAGGGCCGGCATCAAGCTCAACACGAATGTCGCACGCCATCGAGCTCTCACTCCAGCAGTTACACAACCCAAAACAGATGCGGCTGGTCCGTTACCTGCGGCGGACGCTGGTCGGTTTGTGGATCTGGCTGCTCTTCAATCTCTTGAAAGTCGAGCCGCCCCTCCAAACAATGGGGGATTTTGGAAGAATCTCCTTGGCAATGCACCAAATCCTTCAGTAGCGGTACAACACACTCCCGATCAGCAGGGCAGTTCTAACGATGACGCCGCAGCAAAGGCTGATTCGATTCCTGGATTTGCCAACCGAAGGGCAAAAGACCTAAAGCCTCCTTCTCTGACAATGGAAGGAGATCTATCCCCTAGTGACAGGCCCATAGTTATTGGAATATCGATACCTTCAGCCAGACTGCAACAACATATCACAAGTCCACACACTGCTGGCTCGGATACTTCGAACATTCTAAATTGCTACGAATCACAAACCCCCAGAGAAAATGCTCCAGAGACACCAGTCATCGTTATCACACCAGCCGAGGTGTCATATTGGTCGCCAATCAGTGCAAACACAGTGACGCCACAGTCAAGGAGAGTTGCATCAAGTGTGTACTCACGACCCGCCAGTTATTCTCATACCTCAAACCAACAAGAAGAAATCCCTCCCATGCCTCAAATATCGCAATCTATTCTAAATGGCCGGAAAGCTGGAAGGGAATCAGTCGGTACTATTTTCGCGGAAGACGAAGATGATGACGATGTTCTTTCAGCTCGGCCCAAGAAGCTCAGAATAGGGACGGGTGCTATTTTGGAAGAGGATGAGCAACAGATATTGACAAGGAAAAATCGGTCCGGATCCGATGGTAGTGAGAAGAGACCCAAGAGCATGCTTTCACCGAATGACCGCAGGACGTCGACTGGTTGGTGGAGTACGATTCTCTCGCCATTTTTAGCTCGATCTAATACGGTAAACTTCCCATCAACCGCGAAACAAGGAGAGAGCCCTATAGTTCCGGATGTCGCCACACCTGATACAAAAAGTGGCCCGGGCGAGTTCCGCTTTTGGGAGAAGGCTCTTTCACCAAAATCACCTTTGTCTTCAACAACCATTGCGTCCGATGACTGGTGGGACAATCGAAATACTATCGATGGAACCCCTAAGTGGGATGGAACTGATTCAAAATTCAAGGATGGGATTTACACCTACAAAGCAGAAGAATCATACGGGACACTCCCTTTGACGCTGTCACGCAGCACTCGGGCCGCAGCAACTGCGAATCGCCCACAGCAAAATCTAGATGTGGACCCTAACAATGGAACGCGTGAACTTCAAAGGGATCAGTCTTTGGCAGTGCGGTCAGACAGAAGCTCAATTCTCAGTCCTGCTGATAGAGAAGCTCCATTCATGCTCGATGACCCATCAGTAACGTCTGTCGATCATTCAGTTGCGTCTACAAGCACTGGCAATCAACAAACTGCTCCCCAAGGCCCAAACGCCGCGCCGCCAGCCATGAACAACACACCCACAGCGACGCAGTCCCAAGCTAGCCGAGAGAATGCTCCAAAAGTCGTCACTCCTGCAGCCCCACCTCCATACTCTCCACCACGACCAGGGTTTCCTAAATATGCAGCTGTCTATCCACCTGGCCATAGCTCATCTGCCCAGCAACCTCAGTCTCCTGGACCACTCTCCCCTGGTCTGCAACAAGCAATGTCATCAACGGGCGCTATTGCACTGACAGATGTCCCATTGACCCCAGCTACACGAAGAGTCATCAACCTGAATTCGGGTTATCCGACTTTGCCACCGCCAACGGTTGGCCGAGCGGTAAACCCAGTGGACCTCGAGATTGCGTCAGAGAAGGCACGTAAAATTGATGCCAAACGTCGGAGGCATGAGAAGGAAGAAGTCGTAGCCCATAAAGCAGGTGGACTCTGGCGTGGACGGGGATGCATTTCCAACAGAGGCTGCTATGGAAGAACCGGTCCAGAAGGTCGAAAGCGAAGGAGATGCTGGCTTGGTGTAATTTTTGCGTTGATCGGATTGACGATATTAATCGTCACCCTTGCGACTCAGCTGCACAGGTCCACTCCAAATGTTGAGGTTCCGTCGCAGTGGGTTAACTTGACAGTTTTTCCACCAATATACACCGGCGTGTCAATGGTATCATCCACAGCAAACAATGTGGCCAACACAGGCTGTGTATACCCGAAGACTGTCTGGAGTTGTGCTCTTCCGAAAGAACTTCAGGCGTCGGTTGCCCCGAACAAGCCAGAACAGCCAAAACTGAAACTCCTCATTCAGTGGGATAACAGCAGTGCTGCAAACGCGACCTGGGGCGGTCCAACTGGGGCACAAGTTCGTAGGTCTGCTGGCAACCCAGTCAATGCCAGTCAGTTCTTGAAGCGTCTGGCGCTGAAGGCTAGGCAAGCAGTCACGTTCTCACCCTCACCTGCAGCACCTACCATTGCAGAGCAAGGTTTCCTGGGCAATACCACCGATGGCATTGTATCTGACAACAAATCCGGGGAGCGAACACCATTCTACATTACCTTTCTCAATCCCCAAGCAGCCGCCAAAGCTTCGACGAAACTGTCAACAAGACAGGAGAAACAAAATGCGACCACCGCATTCCCCGATCTCGGCAAATTGATCCCACCCCCAGAGCTGAACGCCGACGGCACTGCCGCACCCGCAAATCTCCTTCCAACACCTGAGCAGCAGCCTCTCCGGCTCTTCGACCGCGGGCTTCCCACTGAACACTACGGGTTCTACACGTACTTCAACCGCTCTATCTTCCTGAAGTCGACCGCCCTCCTCAATGAAACGAACTTGGGCGACGGTGAGGTGCCAGATGATCTCAACGGCGGCTGCGCAGAATCCGAAGCACGCTTCCGATGCACGTGGTCGCAGACCCGCTTCTTGGTGCAGATGTGGACGAGGAAGGACGCCAACAGCGCCGTGCTGCTTAATTCAACGGCTACATCTAGCAGCAGCGGGACTGTTACCACCACCATCCTAGGACAGGATAACTCGGCGTTCCCATACCCAATTACTATCACGACTGATAGGCACGGTGGCGATCCTACGAAGAAGGGGGTGTTTTGTTATGAGATTGATGAGAGGGAGAAAGTTGTGGCGGGGAGTGGAAAGGTAAGGCCGGAGTTCAGGGCATTTGGGGGGACGTTGGTGAATCAGGCGCCGAATGCGTTTGATACTACGAGTAGTAATGCGGCGCTGGGGGGGTTTGATGGAGGGAATTCGGGGTGTAGTTGTACGTGGGCGAATTGGCATCCTGCTACTTGAGTGGGGGCGATGGGAAATATTGGGAAATGCGAAATGGAATATGGGAGAATGGGAAATATCAGGAAATGGAAATGGGAGAATGGACAGGGGCGTTATATTTTGTGCATTATCCGGGGCATAGCATATTAGATGATTAGATGTCTTTGTACGAAAATCACACGATGTTTGAGCATTCATGAATGAATATCCATGAGTGAAATTGGCCTCTGAAGCATTGTCATTGTCCTGAGATTTCGTTTTCGTAAAGTTCCTCCACAATTTTGTTACCCATATTCAACCCAGACAATCTAGTATGTCGGTATGTCGTCGATCAGCACACAAGCCGCCCCGGCCAGTCTGGAAACGCCAACACCTCCCATGCATTACCTACTCCCCATAAGAAAACTCCGGCATTAACCTGTACCACCATCGCTCGCACCGCCTCCCCTACCATCTCATCCTCCCCCTCCCGTCACCCCCATATCCCCTCTCCGCACACCCAAAGACAGACGAAGGACAGACGAACGGACGGGCATCTACCCATCATACCCTCTGTGCTTATTAATCTCATTCAACAACTCCTGCAAATCGTCATCGCTGATCTTGTCCGCCAAGCTGGGCACCAGCGTCTTCGCCTCCTCAGCCAGCTCGCAGCACAGACTGCCCAGCTGGGCGCGCTCGAACTTGGCGAGCTCGGGGTGCGCGGAGAGGAGGCGCTCGACGGCTTCGACGTTCTCTTTGCGCTTGAAGCGGGCGAAGTGGTCGAGGTATTCGAGGGTCTTGTTGAGCATCCTGTAGAGCACTTCTGTTAGCCCTTGTTCCCTGTGCCTCTGTATCTTTGCCTCTCCGTGTCTTTCTCCGGGAGGAACTGGAAGTGTGGGTGTGGAAGGGGGAAGTGGGACGCACTCGCTATCATTGACACGCTTGGAATCCTTATCCATCTTGCGCTTCGCGACGAGGGCATTGATGACCAGCGCCGCTTCCGAGTGCGTCAACGCGTCCACATCCTGGAACTCGCCGAGCTTGAGCTCCGCGCCGGCTTCTTCGTCACCCTGGGGGGGTGCGCGCTTGCGCATCGTTTGCGCGGCGTTGGTGGACATGATGGGTGGGGTGGAGGGGTTCGTTCTGTCGGGGTGGATTGAGAGGTTGTGTCGGGGTCCAGGTGAATAGTTTTTCCGTGGAGGGTCTGTTGTAGTTGCTAAGAGGGGAGAAGGGGAGTGAGGCGAAGTGTAAGAGGTGGGGAGGTTGGAGGCGTGTGGTAGAAGCAAGCGGGCGGTTGTTTCTTTATCTCGTTGTGGTGAGGCTGGTAGATTTAATCCCTGTCGACGGGATCCGAAATCTGGGGTAGACGCGGCGGTAGGTCCCTCTATCGCCAAACGACGAGTAGCTCCCACGCGATGCGCCGATTGACCAGGAGCACTCTATGAATACACGAAACTAACGACATTCTAATGATCGGATATTATATTTGTTGGAAGAGCTCGTAATAGCTATTGCGGGAGTTGAATCGTACGTTGGGAGCGTGAGCGGGCCGGAGGAGTCGGTCAAGCCGTTGCTATGTAGGACCCCCCACCGCACCTCAGACAGCAGGATATCGTGGAAGTGCAATGCTTACGAGAGGGATAGGGTCGTCTTTGCGCTTTTTATTGTCAATAAGGCTGGTAGTCTGATCTACCAGCGCGATTTTGCGGAGGGGCTGTCGAAACTCAGCACGAACGAATACATTATCCTCGCTGGCACATTCCACAGGTACGCCTCGCTTTCCTCCCCTCATCGGTGTCGCTCCTACTCAATTCCTGGCATCTTTACAGTATATATTTCCAGTAAGCTAATACCCACGCAGTGTCCACGCCCTCACCACCCGCCTACACCCCCTACAACACAACGCCCCCCGCGGCTCATTACTCGACCGTCCAGAACCTCCCTCAGGCATCGAAGTCCTGGAAACGGAGAACTTCCGGCTGCAGTGCTTTGAGACGCTGACGGGGACCAAGTTTCTGATATTCACGGAGCCAACGCAGCAGAATGTGGATTCGATCCTGAAGAAGATCTATGAGTTGTACGCGGACTACGTGATGAAGAACCCGTTTTACCAGGTCGATAACCCGGTCAGGTGCGAGGTGTTTGATCGAAAGCTGGTGGGATATGTGAGGCCGCTGAATCATAAGTAGGGGGATGGTGGAGTGGGAAAGGGGGTGATGATTGTTAGGGATTCTTGGCGTTGAGGCTGGATCATAAGGGATTACAAAGTAGAACGAGGATACTATTATAGACTATACGGTAAAGGTGGAATAGCAACACGATTGGGAACTACAGGAAATTCATAGAGGTGATCAGAGCGCCTGGCCATCCTCCATTCATATGATATCAGTTCTAAAGTACATGCCGAACGCCACCTGCAATGCCCATGGAAATACCGTCTACTTTATGTAGTATCCATCTTATCCGAGTCATCCTTCTTATCGTCCTTCTTATCCCCGGATCCGGATGCCTCGCCATTATTATCCAGCAAAGGCTTCGACTCCTCATTCTCTTCTGATATCCCTGGCATAGCCTCGTTCTTTTGCGCCTCCGCCTCCCGCTGGCGCTTTTGCCTCGCCTCATCCTCCTCCATACTCATGCGCAGTGCGAGCGCGAGCTCGGGGTCTGCAGATGGGTCGAAGCCGAATTCAAAACCGCCACCGCCAGCTCCGCCTTCGCCGCCACCTCCTGCTCCACCACCGCCCGATCCATCGCCGTTGAGAATAGGGGAGGCGATGAGCTGGTCGCTCAGCAGACCTGGTCCGGGTGGGATAATGGTAAGGTGGGATCCCTCTCCGCTCTTGACGTTCTCGTTGAAGGCTGTGAGCTTCTTGGTCACGTCATCATCGATGTCACCGAATGCAATGAAGTCGATCGATACGGCGTGCTTCTTCATCTTCTTGGCCAGCTTGACGAGGCTCTTCTCATCTTCTGCGATGGGGGAGCAGGTGAATACAATTATGCGCATGCGTTGTGTGTTGTTCTGGCGATGCTTGAGTGCAAGCTAGGACAGGTCAGATCGGAACGCCGACAGATGCGGGAGGGGCGAAACTTACACCTGCTATTTGAAGGCCAGTTGCCAAATGTGATGTCCCAGAGATCTTGCTCTTTGTCCTATGAAGCCCTTCCAAGATCTTTCCGTGGTCCGTCGTCAAAGTCACCAGCACTTCTGGACCTTTGCCACCCATGCTCATCAGACCAACTGAAGACTCCGGGTTGCCTTGTGTGACAGCTGAGAAGACCATAGAAACGGCATCGGCTTGCGCTTCGAATCGTGTGGGCGTATAATCTCCATTTCGACTGCTCTCACTGTTGTCCACCACCACCATCACTGCTTCGAGAACCATTCTGGCGGTTTGTTCCAGGCGAAAGTGAGATGAGCTGTATCAGGTATTTGACAAGTAGAATCTTTATGTAATATCGCTCGCTGATACTGTATCGCGGTTGTGTTATTGGAGAGAGCTTGGGTTGTTGGGGTTGTGAATAGAGCTGTCTGATGTTGCGGCTCCAGGCAAGGTGGACCACCCTTGTAGCTTACGAACTCGCTTGTGCCTTCCGTCCCCCATCACGATTACAAGCTCCGGGGTTTGTTTACCTCGCGAATCTCCTATACTTCTGCATCAGGACCCCAATAACCCACCAATCCACAATTGGTTACAGATTACCAGTCGATTCACGCGCCTTATTGCTTGAATATTTTGCTCGCTGGGTTTAATTTAAATCAACTTCGCACCAAACGATGGCACCTACGCGCCAACGAAAGCACGGGAAGTCAACAGAGTCGGAGTCCTCGGTCGATGCAATGGATTTCCCAGCGCCTCCCCAGACCATACCAACAAAATCAAGCACGCCAACGAGGACTCCAATAAGACGAAGCCCTACGAAGAAGGCCACAAGAGGGCTCACTGCGAACCAGAAGCAAGCGCTGCTTGATAACCTTCAACTCGAGAGTAAGTTTCAAAACACGGATGATGAGATGAGCGCCTATGGCCCCTGGACTTTACTGACGAATACCCATAGTCACTGAGCGCGCCAGAAAGCTTAGGGCTCAGTACATGCTTCAAGCGCAAGGCCTTCGTACCAGAATTGAGATCAGAGTCAACCGCATTCCGACGGGACTCCGCAAGGCGAAAATGGGCGACCTCCTCCTCAAATACAACGAGGCGAAGAGCAATGCCATCTTACCAGGGATGACTGCGCGAGGTGCAAATATGGGATCGCCATCCAGAAATCTCCTCCAAGAGAACCAGAGGAATGCCCGCCACAGCCCCTCACCCATGCGCCAACTGAAACGCCACAGGTAAGCACGCTCTCTCTGGGTATTTAAGAAACCACTAACAATCTCTTTCCAGCGGCGACATGCTAGACAAAGAAAACGAAGACCTCTCTAACCCCAAGAAGCGTGCCAAGGCCGCCCCTGCACCCCGCGTCGCTTCTCGCACCAAACAAGCCGACCAAGTCCTCTCACCCCGCTCTGCAAACTCCCGCAACGCGCCACAGCCACGATCCCCCATCCGGCCGCCAACCAGCCTAGCGCGTCCAGCATCACCAGTCAAACTGCTGCCTCCCGGCGGAGGAGCAAGCTACCTCACAAACATGGTTGAGAAGGCGAAATCGAGCCGGGCGGCGGCGACCGGAGCTTCAAAGACAGGAACCTCCGCTGTGGGCAGGCCGAAGAAAGCGGTAGCTGCTGCGGCGCCAGCGCCGAGAGCGCGTCGAGGCAGGCCGAGCAACAGTAGTGAATCGAGCGATGCGAGTGCGAGGACTACGATTGTCAGCCGGGCCCCGGCGGCGAAGAAGGAGCCGGCTAAGAGGACGGTTATGGGGGCTCTGAAGAGTATGGGTGCGAAGAAGACGGCTGCTGCGCCTGCTGCGTCGAGACCGGCGCCAGTTGGGAGGGTCCTGAGGAATAGAGGCGCTGCGTAAGGCTGTTGGGGTTATGCAACCCCTGGGCCTGGGGGAGAAGCACTTCACAGGCCGCAATGACGAGTATCGCTTTGTTGGTGTTTTGTGTAAAATACCAACAAACCGATACTCGTCATTGCGGTCTAACGACACTTACTGGAGGCATAGAGCCAAAGTCGCCACGATGGTATTGATTCTCCATCTCAAAGAGGTGGGTTGTAGTCTACCATCGACGGTGATTCGAGATGGATATGGCATTGATTCCCCACATTCGTGGGTTGTAGTCTGTCATCCGCTGATTCTCACACTGGTTATGCAAACAGCGACTGTCGAAGGCTTGGCAATTAGACGCGTAAGAGGAGGGGATATGGATGGAAACGGATATATTGGATATTGGATAAGGGACTATACGACTTTGTGTTTTTTGACTGGGTTAGCGGCAGGCGTTTGGGACATGGAGTTAATGATCAACGGCATTATGGCCAGAATTCAACGGATGTGAAACATAGGATCAGCGAAAATAAATTCATTCGCACCTCTCTAAAATTTCTCCCAGCACTACATGCTCTACTAACTCTTAATAAAAGCGGATAGTGGAAGAGGAAGAAGAAGAAAAGGGGGGGCGTAGAAACGGTGGGGAGGAGTGTAGCAGAATGGCAGCGAGAGAGGATAGCCAGGAAGGACAAGGCGGACGGAATAAATCAACAAGTCATGGTTCTTGGGACCTACAATACATATCTAGGCCCGTTTAGTACACATCTTTCACCACATCGCAGCCCCCTCTAAAACCGAAAGCTTAGATCCTATACCCAATCCATAAATTTCATCCACCCCCTCTTCTATCTACCCCCCCCCCCAAGTACCACCCCCACCTACGGGCCGGGCGCCGCGCCCGCCCCCTTCTTCTTCTTATCCTCCACCAACTCAATATTATCCCCCGGCACCAAATCCCCATACTTCTCCAACAAAAAGTCCTCAATCTCCGTACTCACATCACCCTGGACGACAATCTCCTCCCCCCCACTCGCTGTCTTGGTAACACTACTCCCCGTCGCAAACTTCTTCCCGAAATCCTTGCTCACCTTCTTCAACTCCAGCCCGAAGGCTTCGAGACCCGATACTGCAGTCACGTATTTGCGCTTGTTGCGCTCGACGCGCTTGATGATGATGCGGGAGGCGGCGAGGGCGGAGGCGTGCTTTTGTTCTGCTTGGGCGGCTTTGGCGGCTTTTTTGGCGGAGTCTTTGGTCGCGCGCTTGAGGGCGTCAATGGAGAGGGTGGAGGTTGCGGCTTCGAGGGCGTCTGGGGAGGAGGGGGTTAGCTTGTGGGCTTTGGTAGAGTAGAGTATGTTGAGAGCTGAAAAGCTGGGGTATGTGAAGAAGGTGAGGGCTGGGGATGGACGAGGGGTATGGGAGGACGTACCAGCGGAGTAAATCTTTTCGGACATGTCGGGATGGTTCTCCTCAAGCCATTCCTTGCATTTCTTCGTCGTCCCGCCGAACTCGCAGTACTATTCCCACCACACTTGTCAGCTTATCCTGCACACTTCTGCCCCGACTATCTCGGGGTTGTCCAGTCTCCCGTCTCAGCAACCTTGTCTCCGTCTCGGCGGTCGATGCTGGGAGATCCTGGGGGGTTGCTGGGGTGTGTCCATACCTCAGGTGGCAGCGTGCAGACTATCCATACGTCAGTTTACGTACACCCGACAAGGAAAGAGAGCAAGAGACGTACCGCCACAATACACAATATGTCTAGCCTGTGGCTCAAGCGGTGCCGTTTCCGTATCTGCCATCGCGGGTTGCTGTGATGGCTCTTGTGGTGGTTTGGGTGGTTGGTGGGTTGTTGTTGTTTTCGCTATGGAGGGGTTGTGGATGGAGGGGTAGTTGTGCTCGTGTGGCGCTTGGAAGCCAGTTAGAAGGGTGCTGGTGCTTTTGGTGGGGCGGAGGGGCGGGAAGGCGGTAAACTGCCGCACTAGGAGTGTGTGGAGGCGAGGCTATTTCTTGTTTATTATCACCACAGCGCTCTCCTCCGTATTGTTGGGGGAAACGGATGTTCTCATGGGGATACGCCCAAAATGATAGGTTTTCTCGGGGGGACTGTTCGGCTCCCCGGTTGGTCAGAGTATCGGGATGGGTTTCAGCCCAATGCCTCAGTTTTAGCTAGGCTGAGGAAGCCTAATTTCTCGGGGTTTGACAGGCCTACAAATAGCGTACGTAGACCCCTAGATTGGTTAGTAACTGCAATTGATTATGTTATTCTATTCACTGTATTCTATTGCTAAAGCCTCTGTCTGGCTGCCCGTAGGGATCGATTACGGGAACTGGAGATTCTCACGCGATTTTGTGTGTAGTTCCCTGTATCCCGCAGTTACTCCCAACACGTATCTAAGACCTACGAAAGTAGCTGCGACATCTGTTACTTCTTAGCAGCCGATCCCATCCATGGCTTCTAGGAGACAAAATGTTCCCCTGTCGGAACTCCTTAATGGGGATGATAGGGGGGCGCCACAACAGCCTCATCAGGAGGCCCCTGCCTACTTCCCACAACAGCCCCGTCAGGATGCTACTGCCCACTTCCCCCAACAACCTCGTCAGGAGGCTACTGCCCACTTCCCACAACAGCCTCATCAGGAGGCTGTTGTGGGAAGTAGGTCTCCAGCCTGGGCTGCCCACAGACAGGCAGCACGGAGGGGGAAGGCCATAGAGGCTGTTTGGATAGAGCAGCAGCCTCATCAGGAGGCTGTTGTAGGAAGCAGATCTCCGGCCTGGGCTGCCTACAGACAGGCAGCACGGAGGGAGAAGGCCGCTGAGGTTATCGGGATAGAACAGCACCCACCAGCCGTACGACAAGTCACCTACCAGTCGAGGGGGACCAGTATGCATACTACCCCTCCCCAGATCCAGTCGCATCCCCATGGGGTTAGGCCCCAGATTAATACTGCAACTTTCCAGATCCAGTCGCATCCCCATAGAGCTGAGCCCAAGAAAAAGAAGCAATGAGAGTAGGCTCCTCCGGTGTTATCGTTCGAGGAATGGGTCAAGAAGCAGGCAGAACCTGCCAAGAAGCCAACGCATCTTGAGCAGCTCATCAGCTTCATGTGTAGCGAGGAGAATCTTCGGCGTGTAGGGTATCGTTTTCGGGCGTTACGGACGATATAGGGGTCTGGACCGTTACCAGAAAGCACTCTTAGAGGGGCTTTGATACAGATCAACAAAGACATCTATCGCTGGAGAGCAAATATATGCCAGATTACAGCTATTCTCGGCACGTCCAGCATGTCTGATGCAGCGGAGCGGAATGAGACGCTTATAGGCATTTTCTCGGAACGTCGTCGTCATTTGGACGAGAATATTTTTGAGAATAGATGGGCGAGCTACCGGCATAATATGAAGATGATAGACGGACTCTCGTACCTAGGAGCTACAAGGAATAGTGTGCTTGGGCTGGCGCTGCTCCTCCCGGAGGAGTTTGACCGGACTAGAAGGGATAAGATAGCGCCAGATATTGGCGAGTTGGGGAGTATAGTGAAGGTGCGTGAGCTCCTCGAGCTTGCCCATGAACTTGTCCCATATGTAATTTGGGTTTTGAATGGGTCGTCAGAGAATGCACCTCCACCATTGCAGGGCATAGAGGTGACGTGACTTAGGTGGGATTTAGATTGCGAGAAAGAGAGGCTGGTCATCAGTTTAGCGGTTTAAGAAGTGATGTTCGTATGCAATATACTAGTATATTAAGAATATCCCGGCTCAACAAGCAGTAGAATCCTTCCGGACAAACGAACCCTGCAATATCAAACTTATTGGTGGGATTTTTGGAGACTCTCCTTGTCAGCTTACAACCGTGATGTCTGAGACTTGGTTTTTATGACAAAACTTCCTGGCGATTGTTATCTTTTATGGTTATAGTGCTTAGTGGCATTTAGGCATAAACAATGCTAGAACGGAGTAAGCTTAATCTCTCTTGGCCGCTGGGAGTCGGCACGACGCGCTGATACTCGTGGACCGCAGCCTTCACAGACCACGCACTGCCCTGCGCGGTCTGCAGGCTGCCCTCTCCTTTGGCCATACGGAACCGCAAAGAAGCTGAAGCAGGAAAACAACCAAGTTCCAAACCTCCGTCAATGTTCATAAATAGGTAATTATCAACGCCCATCTCCAAAAGTCTATAAAACCCCCCCCCCATCTCCTCCGTCATTTTCCAAAAAACCATCCTCCTCATCATCACATCAACAACCCACACTACCACTCCAAGCCCCAAACCCCAACAGCAACCATGCAATTCACCACCATCCTCCTCGGCCTCTCCGCCGTCCTCACCACTGTCCTCGCGTCCCCCGTCGATACCTCCGCTGCCTCTCCGCTCGTCGAACGTGCTTGCGCTTATGACGACTGCGCTGCTTGCGAGGACTATTGCTGGAACGGTGAGTACCCCCTATCATTCCTATACCCAGTCCTTTCTCAACCCCTATATGTGGTGGAGCAGAATCCTAATATCAAATTAGACATCCCATGCCCTCCTGACCACAACTGCGGTATTAGCCAGGCGACTTGCTTCATTCTTTGCATTGAGACTGGGTGCTGCGATGCTTAAATCGGGGGTGTGAAGTTAAGACGTGTGTTGAAACGGGGCGGGCAGGTGGTGAAGTAAATAGAGGACCAGGGCCGTTGGTTGAGTAGCTGCAGCTATATGAAGACTTGTGTTACTCCTCTTGAAGATGCGTTCTGTAGCTTGCTCTTGACGTGAAGGTTGCAACACACCGATTCTCTCACTGGTATGACCACCGTCAACTCTCGAGCACATAAGCGCCACACTGTCTTATCAAAGGCACACCCACCTGCAAGAGGAGATATTTCCATACACCTAATCTACAACTCTGCCACTCCGCTCTAGCTAGTAAGCTTATTACGTCCCCCTTCCCTCCCCGCCCCCGCTTTCCCCACAGCAAATAAGCCATCAAAAATCCCCATAAATCCCTCTCCCCCTGCATATCCCAGCCACTCTGCACCCCAGTAAATATCCCATGCTCAGCTGCATCCCGTTTCCCATATATTCCCATTTTACCCGCCCAAGTGTGGAGAAATCTCCTTCCCAATCCTTCAGGTTTCGTAGTAATACACTTACCCCAGCCAGCCGTCCCAGCCGACCCAATAAACGCCTTGATGACGCACACACCGGTCATCTTATCAGGGAACCAAGAGGGAATCCGGTATATCCGGGACCCTGCTTGTCTACATCCCTATCTCGTCCCATTCGATCCATCTATCCAGCGTCTCTTCAATATAAATCCCCGCTTCTCAGCTGAGAACTTGCAGTGTCAACGGTGAGGATAAGCCCCTTACCCTCTACCAGGGGTATGCGCGCCCATGAAGACGCCGTCGCCGAAGCCCGTCCCGGACGTGGGATCCATCTGCATCTCCGGCGCATTGGCATCATACACGCCCGGGAAGTAAGGTAGGCTAGGGTCGACGGCGCTGCCCATCTGAACGTACTGGTCCCAAGCGGCCTAATAACACTACAGTTAGCAAACCACCACTGATAAAAAAACAAGACAGTCAGAGCTGTAGATTCAAACTCACCCAGTCCAAATTATCAGGCAAGTCAGTCAAACTCGCCCCTCCCCCAACCCCCCAATACTGCCCCAACTCACCCCCTGCCACCCCCTCCATAGGCGCTCCAAACCCCTCCCCCCATCTCCCCGGACTAGGCGCCACGAACGCCGGCGGCGCCGCAACCCCGCCACTCGACAGCATCCCCAGCGTCATCGCCGCTGAGTGCTCCGGATGCATCTCCTCATCCACCTCCTGATTCACCTCATTCTGCTGCGCCTTAAGTTTGTCAACCATAATCTTTAGTACCTTGGCGCCCTTATACGAGTCCATGCTGGCTGCCTGGTCGCCCTCCCAGATCGCCATCGCGGTTTCTAGGGATGATAGCATGTCGGCGCGCTGCTCCGCGGTCCAGAAGGTGTGGGGCCCGCCACCGCGGTCATGGTTGAGGTCGAGGGAGACGATCATGGCGCCCAGGAGGAAATCGTGCTTTTGGAGGGCCGTGAGACGCCACATCACTTCGCTGATCCTGCCCCCTGGTTGGGCTTCACGGTGCAGTGTGGCCTGGATGCGGAGGAGTGCCATGGCGGCATCAACGGATGCGCGGCGCGAGTACGTGTACCGGGGATTCGTGCGTGCGCGCGCGATGAAGCGGCGATGGAGGACGCAGATGGTCTTTTGGTGCAGGACTTCGATGTAGAAGCGCTGGAGGATGAGCGAGGAGGGGTCTAGAGCCGATTCTTCGAGGGATCGGAAGCGGAGGTGTGGTTCCATGGTCATGCGCGCGGAGCGGATGCGGGCGTCCCACTTCATGATTGTGTCGTAGGAGGCATGGGGGCCGGAGACGGATTGTGTTTCTTCGATTATGGCTCCTAGCATGAGGACGAGGCGGCCCTTGGCGAGGATGGAGGACATGGGTGTTGCTTCGGTGGGGGGACGGGCGGGGGGGATAGAGGTGGAGGAGGTGCTGAATTCGTCGTCGAAGATGTTACGCGGGAGTTGGGTGTCGCAGTCGCAGGACTTGATGAGGTTGGGGAGGGTGAGTTGCGCGGAGAAGATGATGTCGATTTGGCGGATTATGAGCCACACGCGGCGCCGCATCTCGGCTTCATAGGGGGAGACGCTGGTGAATTGAGAGGCGTCGCGGTGGTATCCCACTGAGGGAGTAGTTAGTTTATTTTTTCTGCAGGGAGGGGGGAGGGAGGGGTACTTCTCATCGCAACCTGGACGACTGTGCCTACAACGAGATACAGCCCGAAATCGACATCAAGTCTACTACTGTACTCCGCATGTACATACAGAACAAGCGTCTCGACCGTATACACATTCGGCCTTGTATAATCGCTCGTCGCCAGCGACTGGACCGTCCTTCCCCGATACTCCGCCGCCAGCTCATTCGTCCGCCCCTTCCACTCCGGCGGCTCATCCCCAACCTTACTATAACTCAGCATCGCTAGCGTCAGCGTCGCATAGAGCAGCCCAATCCACGCCAAACTCTGGCTCTTCGGGTCCGCGAAAAACGCCTCGAGCCGCTCATGGAACGTCTTGTGGTGCAGCATTTGCACGAACGGATCGAGCGAGTTGAAGAAGCGCGCAATGAGCTTCTCAATCTTTGCGCGAGGCGGTAGGCCGGCGCGCAGTTCTGCCTCCGTCGCGGGTGCCAGCCCTTGGAATATGAAATCCGGGATCCAGCGCGCGGCGCTCGTTTCATTAACTTTTTTGTATTGGTTATCGAGCTCGCGTTTGTGGTTGGTGAAGTAATTGCGAACTTCCGCGATCTAGTAACTGTCAGCTCTGTTTCATTCGACCGTAACCAGCGCGCCCTGGTGCAGAGCAAAAGCGCTGATAATACGGGGAAAAGCAGACTCACGTCAGCTAACACAAGGTGCCAATGCGAATCTCCAATATACATCGTCTTCTCTGTCTCCGCATCGACTTTCAACACCCCAAACGAATTTGCCACTGCGTCCACATCGCTTTCTCCCCCTTCCTCTCCGTCCCCGTCGTCCTCCTCCTCCTTAATCTTCTCCATCTCCCCATCATCCACCGCTGTGCTCGTACTGGTACTCCCACTCCTCTCGCTCGCCACCGCCGCCACTGCTGCTGTCGGTCCTGGTGCATTCGAGCCGTTCGTCATTAGTGAGAGAACGAGCCCTTCGAGGCGATCGATCCGGTTCTGCATGTCGTCTGGTGAGGAGCCGGCGGGGGCAGCTTTGCGACGCGGGCCTGGGGCCGCATAGGCGCAACCAGCAGCGTCACCGCGGCGGATGCAGTTCTCACAGGGGATCGAGCGATTGCATTTCAGTCTGTTGGTGGGTGGATTAGTCTCTGCTCAAAATACAGTGGAAGTTTGGTGGGGGGAGTTATGAAAGAGAAGTGAGGAATGACGGGTTAAAGAGGGGCCTGAGACAGCGGGGAGGCAAAAACGCACTTCTTATGCCTACACGGCGCACACGACAACGGGACTCTATTCCTCTTCCTCACCACGCGATACTGCGTATCCGGGGAATTCCCCGTGGACGACCCCGTCGAAGGGGGCGTCGGCGACATGTTCTGTTTTGTGTAGTGACTTTCTCGTTCCGGTCGTAGGTAGATATGCGCAGATGCCGTATCTATGCGCACAGGTGGCGAAGCCTGTAATCTCCCTACAGTAAATGTGCTTTCTCGATCTTAAGAATTTGCGCGACAAATGCTGCTTGCTGCTTGTGAGTGGTACGGGCGCAAGGCAGATGCGCTACGTTTCCTCTCCACTCTCTTATCGTGCGTCGCAGGTTATGCGCCCGTCCTTCGATGCTGTACTGCCTGAGCCTATGACCTCGTAGACGTCGTAAATAGGATCGAAGATGCGAATATCGAGAATCGAGAATCGTAAGAGTAGTAAGAGAAAGAAAGATCGAAATCCCTACTCTCTCTCATCCAACAACACAGCGGTCGTCAACGTTAGCTCAGCACCCACACACACCCACCACCCAACCCGTCAGATCGCTCAATCCTCCACTCCAATCCCCACTTACACCAAACTGTTGCGCCAGGCCCCCAACGTCTTAGCGTGTCAGCCCTCCCACCGTGGCTGGCTTTGTCAGCAGGATCCAGATCCTCCCCCATCAGAAATCCCCGATCCCCGCACCAACACAGCTACTGTAGCCAATCCTGAAAGATTGCATGTGGTACGTGATGACGTCCCCTCTTATTTTTGCTCCAGCCGCCGGAAAAGTGGTTTATGTTTTAGTTTTTACTGTAGGAAGAGGGGATGGAGGTGAGTCATTCTACGGTTTATTATCGACTACAGGTAACCAGTGATGGGCGAGTTAGGGGGGAGGAATGATGGGAGGGCTTAACGCCGACCGTTATCGCCGGGTGAGTGGTGCGTGGTGGGTTGGAGAAACAGGTTGTGGTGGTGATGGGCAGTGGTTGTGGTGGGGAGGTAACGTGATCTATCTAGACGACGGGAACGTGGTGGACGGGATTTATATAGGCGCCGAGAGAACTGTGGGAACTTGTTGGGATATATGATGCACTGAGACTCTATTATATACTGCGATGGCTGTTTAATAATGATTTTTGGGGGCTAGGGAGAGGTGTGAATTCGCATGGTATATTTTAAAAAAGTGATACCATATTTACAGATTGTGGACAGAAATAAATAAAAGTGATAAAATAACATTACGGTTTTTAGGAATTATGTTTCGAAATGAGGAATAAAACATTACTTAACAATATAGACCCCTTCACATTTATATTATAGCATAAGAAGTATCAATATACAAAGACAGCAAAAGTGGCATTGCTACGTGTGAAACTCTCTCTCTCTACCTATCTGTGGGTAAAACGCGGAGTTTGAGCTTAACTCCACAGACCCTTCCTACACCAACATCCATCTCCCCTGACCATGCTTCTTTAACAGAAAGCGAGCCGCATACGCCACTCAACCCCGCCATGAAGAGTTTCCAGTTTGTAGACGGCGCAAATATCGACAGTACTGCAAGGAAGTCGATTCGCAGCCATGTAATGAAAGGCAAGAACGCCCGACGGACCATTCACCGGCAGTCGCGGCTTAATCTCTCCAGCAGTTGGCCACCTCCGAATCACAAGGCCACTCAACGCACTCTCCAGGGGTCACGCAGAGATGAAGATCCTACCGGCATTTCCATGCAGGTCTCTAGGAACCTCGGAAGCGTATTTCTCACCTTCAGGTTCCCCATCGAGCTCACGCCGCATTCAATCAAAGTCGTCAACCAATGTGAGCCTAAGCTACCTAGGTAGAAACCTCGAGATAACCACTAAGACGAATCTTAGTCTTCAACCATATAATAGAGAAACTGTACCCTTCCCACTTTGGGTTTTCACCAGATGAAGCTAAGATACAATGGCTAGGCGTTCTTCTCACCGACGAAGGGGGTAAGATTTGTATCCCAGTCTTGATGTCCATTCTCAGCTAACCACACAATCAGCATCCCACTGCAGTATGGCCCTCATGGAAGCCTGCAACGGATTCTTCCTAGGCGGCAACCTCAGTTCACCCGAAGCTTTCTACCACGTCTCCCAAACCTTCGTCCTCATCCGGAAGAGGCTAGAGAGCCAGGAAGCACTGTCAGATACGACCATCGGAATCATCCTCATGCTCATCCTCCAAGAGCAGGTCCGGAAAGAGGACAGAGCTGCTGAAATCCATTATGAGGGCCTGAAGAAGATGGTTGAGTTGCGCGGGGGACTGGGGCAGTTAGAGCGGAATCCGCCGTTGTTGCTGAAGATTTGCAAGTGCGCAGTACCTACTCCTCCATCAATATGATAGATGCTGACTGACACTGGTTTGAAGGATTGACATAACGTATGCTCTTCAATCCGGGCAGCCGATGCTGTTTTTCCGCGACTGCTTTTCCAAAGTCCAGAGCACACTTAAATCCAAGGGATTCGCGCGGAATCGGATCTCAGATATTCCGCCAACTCAGTGTGAGAAGCTGGATCCCTATCTGCGGGATATACTACTTGACGCCTTGGACATTGCTGCAGTTCTCAATGACTCCGCAAGGGAGGGACATCTCGGACTCATTACATTCCAGGAGATTCTCGTCTCCATCTGCTCACGCTTGATCCACTTCCGCCCTCTCAAGAGCGACATGTCACTATCTCTAGTGGAAGCGGGATACCACATAGGACTGGTAATCTACACAATGAGCCTCTTCCTACAACACGACCGCCGCCGAATCATGGACTACGACCTCGTCACTGTGCGGCTCAAAGAAGTCCTTGATTCCGCCCAAGAGCTCGATGATGATTTAGCGATATGGCTCATGTGCCTTGGTAGTATTTGGCTTGCGGATGACCCGTGCAGATTATGGCTTGCCCCGGTGATCAACCAGTTTACGAACAGGACGGGGATTGACAGTTGGTCGGAAGTTCACGATAGGGTCAGCAAACTCCCGTGGATCAATGCTGTGCATGAGCAGCAAGGTCGCTTGGCGTGGACTTCAGCCTTAGAAGGGTCCAAAGAATGCTTTCATTGAAGTATCTAACAACAGTCACTCATCCATCCAGATGCCACCAACCCCCTCCCTACCAAGCAAACTTCTCCCCCACCAGCTCCTCCGACAACCCCCACAACCTCTCCGCCTCCGCACTCGACACCGCCAACGGATTCGCCCTATCGTTAATCTGACAATCCACCAAATACGCCCCCCAATTCTCCCTCCCACTCCCCTCCCCACCCCCCTCCCCCGCCCTCAACCCCCCATCAAGCGCGGCCACCAAACTCGTCGCCGCCCCCTGATCTAGACTGCGGAACTTAAACATCCCGCTCGCAAACAACGCTCCCACTGCCTCAATGGTCTCCTTTGAGGTCGAACGACTCAGCTCCGTCTGCATGATACCTGGGTGCAGACCGACGCTTAGGATTCCGTGCTTTTCGAATACACGGGAGTTTAGGCCGATGCCGAAGAGGATGTTGGCTACTTTACTCTGGTTATACCCCTCTAGCGGGAGGTATGAAGCGTCCTCGGGGGAGACGGTGCCCCATTGCCGATGGACGTCGTAATTAGGCTGCTCAGCCTCGGGGAGGGTTTTATTCACTTTATCGAAATTCACATCACTCCACCGCATGCTCGCAAACGTTGGTGACAGCGAACTAACATTGATCACGCGCGTCGCACCCTTAGTGCCAGCGGCAGCAGCGGCGGTAGCGGAAGCGATCAGTTTCGGCATGATCAAATTGGTAAACAGAAAATGCCCGATATGGTTGGTGGCGAAATGTAGCTCGATACCGTCCTCGGACAGCGTGCGGGAGGGGATGTTCATCACGCCTGCGCTGTTTATGAGGATGTCGATTGTGGGGATGTCGGACCAGTAGAGGAGCTCAGAGGCGGCGGTGCGGACGGATTTCTGGCTCGAGAGGTCAAGGTTGAGGGGGCGGTAGTTGACGGTGGGGTAGGAGGACTTGAGAGCTTCGATGCATTCTTGGATCTTTGAAGGATTACGGCCTGCTAGGATGAGATGGGCGGGGGATTGGGAGGCCTGGGTTGTGTGGGCACGCTGGGTTAGTGGGATGTTGGATGGGGAAATGGGAGTGGTGAGAGGAAGGGAGAGAAGGGAGGGATGGACATACGAATGCTTCGGCGGTGGAGAACCCGATGCCATTCTTGTTCACGCCTGTTATGATGATGGTCTTTCCGGTTATTCCAGATGCGAATGCTTTGGCGACCTCGAGGGCTGAGGTCTGGTCGTTGAACTCGGGATGTGTGGTTGTTGATGCCATGGTTGTGGTGGTGGAATTGATTGGGGATGTGGTGGTGTTTGAGGGGAGGTGCTATGAGGAGAATGCGGATTGGGACTGGTGATGAAGGAGGGAAGAGATGGTATAAGATGAGGCAGGAAGGATGCTTTATACTTATAGATGCGCCTTGTTCTCACATCATAGACTACGTTGGAAGGTGGTCATGGAATTAACGGAGATATAAAAGGATTTAGCGGGGCTATCCCATTGTATCATTCAAATCATTGCAGTGTTATCAGTTGAATTGCAGTTCCCTCAAAACAGGTTCCAACTAATTCGTACGCATATCCATCCGAATAAACGCATGGGGGCCGACTTTCTCACCTCCAGCCAATGAGAGATTAGTTTCCTAATTAGGTTAAGACCCAAAGAGGCTCAAGGCATTGCGGCATATATATATTTGTAGTGTCATATTTGTAGTGTCGGAGGTGAATTACAGTTCTCTCAAAACAGGTTCCAACTAATTCATTCCATACCCCTCTTAATAAACGCACGGGGGCTAATTTTCATACATGTAGCCAATAAGAGATTGGCTTCCTAATCGGGTAAGACCCCAAAGACGGCTTAAAGAATTATGGCATATGCATCATGTATTTGCAATATCGTGGGTGAATTGTAGTTTTCTTTATACCTGGTTCTAATTGTATGGTATCTCTCTGAATAAAAGGAGGGGGGGTCAGCTTTCACACGCCCTAGCCAATGAGAGATTATTTCCCCAATCCAGCCAAACACCCCCCAAGGTATCTCTCAAAGAAACCGCAGGCGAATATGCCAGAAGAATGCCTCAAAGAAAAACCACGCGAGAACACACCAGTAACCCCCCCCTCGCCAAAGGTCTCGTCAAAGGCCCCCCCCCAAAAAAAACGGCAAAAAAAGACCAAAAATGAAAGGCACAGTACTATCAACGAATCTTCAATTCAAAGAACAAGAAACGTCAAATGCTCATACTGCACTAAGCCACGAAACGTGGAACAGCCGAAGTGACGTGTAGGGCATCACCGGAAAGGTTCCTAGCTGAACGGGGCTCGAACCCGAGGGCTAGGTCATTGATTACACCCTCCTCCTACAGAGAGTGTGTGGCATCTATACCTTACCGCTTGACCAGGAGGACAGGCATCTGTTGTGGTTCATGGGGGGGGGAGCGCTTAGGGGGCTTTATATAGGGAGGTAAGCGATGGGGGGTGGGTGGGGGTGGTTTTATAAGGGGGTGGAAGGGAAGGGGGGGTTGTGTGGGGGAAAGCGATCTAAGGGGGCGGGAGGGGTGGGATTATAAGGGGATGGGAAGGGAAGGGGGTTTATCACTTTCTGCAGGAGACGGGAAAGTTCGATGACGGCTCAGCAGCGGGTCAGTAACATCTCAGCGACGTCTCGGCATCATTAGCAACATCTCAGTAGCATTTTTTGAGAACAGGGAGTTTCATCCGATAACAGCTTCGCACACCTCATCACATTTAACGTCACGGCAGTAGAAGAATATCATTGATAAAGACAAGGAAGGTGGTATCATTGCGCGCGCGATTTCTCTGTCTCCTACACTCTGTCTCTGTCGTTGGGTAATAGCACCGCGGTATAACTTCGAATCACAACGAAAAATAAAGATTAACAAAAAATGACTGAGGGGGTATCCGTCCTTCCATCCATCCATTCCATTCCAAACAACTCGCCGTCCATAAAACCAATTATCCCCCATCCCCATTATCCATCGCCTTGTTGTCCATTACCCCCATCCCCCAATCATCATCTCAGTCGCAGTCGCATTCGAGGGGGTAGCACCCATCACCCGTAGGCAACAGCTCTCACGTAGACCAAGCTAAACCACCCCCTAGTTAGCACACACACCTCACATATGCTCAATAACATCCGCCCTAATAGCCTGAGAAAAATGCGGGTCCGCACCTCCAAAGTCGCTCGTCTCCACCCCCTCCACGATTCTCTTCCCCCCATTCGCCGCCGACCCCTCCCCAACACTATCCGCCATCGCCATCTGGGAGGCCACATTCGCCGGACCAGGCAGGAAGATGACCTTGCTGTTCGCGCTCTTGGCCATGGCCTGCATCGCCTCCAGGTAGCGGATCTGCATTGCCGGGGCGGAGGACAGGATATCAGCAGCCTGGCGCATGAGTTTGGCGGACTCGACTTCGGCGCGGGCGGCGATGACCTTGGATTCTCCAATACGCTTGGACTGCGCGGCCATGGATAGGGAGTCCTGGAGCTCGTTGGAGAAAATCATGTCCTTGATCAACATACTCTCGACCTTGACGCCCCAGCCGGCGGCGACGTCTTCGATGATCTCGCCGATGGACTGGGCGATCTCTTCGCGGCGCTCGATGACGTCTTGGAGGACGCGGGCGCCGACGACGTGGCGGAGGGTGGTTTGGGTGCGCTCGATGAGGGCTTGGCGGACGTTGGAGATGCCGAAGGCGGCTTTGTGGGGGGAGGTGATGTGGTAGTAGATTACGGAGGTGAGGTGGAGGGTTACGTTGTCTTTGGTCATGCAGACTTGTTTTGGGACCTCTGTGGGGGGTTAATAAGCTGTATTCAAGGGTCCTATCATTGTAGGGTGGGAATCTGAAATCCCTTTGTTTGAAAGGGGGGAAGGGAAAGACGTACCAACTATCTGGATCTTAACATCCACCTGAATCAACCTCTCACTCAACGGATTAATCTTGACCAACCCCGGATCCACCGCGCGATAAAACCTCCCAAACTTCGTCACCAACCCCACATTCCCCTGCGACACCGGCTTATACGGATTCGGGCAGATAATACAGCACGGAACCGCACCAAAGGTACCAATGCAGTTCCCGAGCGTGTTGATCATCGACCCGTACCACCCGTGCGTGCCCTGCTCGCTCTCGCCGACAAGGTTCTGCGCATAGCTCGGCTGCAGGTCTTCGCGGCGGGGAGGCTCGACGTTGATCAGTCGGCTGGCACCGCCGACGTTGGCGGGGCGTTGGTAGCCAGCGCCGTTGGAGGGTTTGGTAATGTCGGTGGAGGGGGCGGCCAGGGGGGCGGCAGAGGAGGTGGTGTTGTCGGACATTGTTGGGTGCAGGTCGGTCATCAAAGGGTGAGTGTTGTGTTGGAAGGTGAAAGATGAGGGGTGAATTGGAGGCGAAGTGGTTGTTTATGGGTGTTTTGTGAGATGAAACGGGGGGTATATTAGTCCTTGTGTGATATGAGACGATGAGGGGGGAAACTGGGGATTTAAGTAGTGGTGCGATGGTTGCTATGTGAAGGAGGCCAAGCGGCCAAGAAGTGATTGGTGGGTGTGCAGGGATGGATGGCAGCCTTGTGTGGTACTTCCTGTGGTAATAGTGGTCAGAGCACCCTATTGGGAAGTATTGTGCGGGGAAAGCTCTGTCCGTGGTGGCTCTGGTGTCGTTTGGTGTTCCTTGGTGGTCTCTTGGTGGCTTGGGGGGTACAGGGAGTGCTACAGGACAGGAGTGGAGAGTGGAGAAGACTGTTGCCGCGTATGCGGATAGATCCCCTAATCCCGTAGTGTACGAGAGTACGAGGGGAGGAACGGGGCAAGCCTGTCTCCACTGCGCGCGAGGCTGTGATTAACCGCTGAGATGATGACGGAAAGTACTGGAGCCGTGCCGATGTTGGAGAAGAATGCCTAGGAGTATGCCAGGTGTCAGGGAGGGAGATGAGTGGTGAATGGTGAGTGAAAGGTGAGGGAATAGGGAGGGAATACGCGTGGGATTGAGGATGAGACGGATGGAGCGGAAGGGAAAAGGAATGTGATGGGCATGTGGTATGGGATGCGGTGTACGGTATACGATGGACGGGGTATACGATTCAGGTATTCGATGCAGGTAGACGTGTGAGATTGTTACTGTTGGTGCTGTTTGCTGTTGTGTGTATTCGATGCTGTTTGCACCTACAGCACGATACAGTACAGGTACACAGTACATACAGCAGTTCCCCTCCATCTGTCCTCCCCTCCATCCCCCTCTCTCCCTCCGTACCTCCCCATACCTGCCATACAAACACACTCCACCAACACTGACAGCGCGCACGGCTACCACCCCATCCGCCTCCCAGCGACACAAGAAACACCCCCCTCCCCTCCCCCCAATTGGCCTATCACCACGACAAAGAAACAGCAGAAACACCAGAAACACCAGAAACACAGCCCAAACACCAAGGGGTACACCACCACCACCACCACCATGGAAGATCGCGCATCCCCCCACCCCGTGCGAGAACCGTACAGAATGGCTGGCATGCATGGGCATGGCATCTCTATCCCTGGGGATTGGTTATGTAACAGCCTCCATGGGTGAGCATCGTGGCTGATCCTTGGCACGGCGGCAGTTGTGACGTAGGTAGGGGGTGCTGGTGGTGTGGTGGGTGTGGGATCCAGACTTTTGCTGTGCCGCTAGAGTTTGCTGCGCAGGAGTCAGTTAGCTGTATAGTGTGTGTGAGTGTGTGGGAAAAGTGAGAGAGTCATGTGGTGGTGGTGGTGGGAGTGAGATGGGCTAATATGGGCTAGGAGAACAGGAAGAGGAAGGTGCGAGGGGAGAGGGATTTTGAGGCGGAATAGCCTCATACAGTACTCGACTGAGGTAGTAGAGATAGCCTCAGTACTGTACTCAGTGCTCACAGTACGGGTGGTAAACACCTCAAAGCCACCCATGGAAATACGCCTCACCCTCTCACCGTCCACCCCGCATACTCAACAGTACACACAGTACAGGGCACTACTGTCAACACGCCCAATTCCAAATAAACAACAGCAATCAATCCCCAATACCCGCAACAACTCAATCCACTCCTTCTCGAACACGCCCGCCCATCATCCTCCTTCCGCTGCTGCTGCGCCACCATCACCCACCAACCCACCACCAACCCAACCTTATCTCCCGCCAAGCCCCCCCACCCAAACATGCCGGCCTACCCACCCATCACACATCACGACTCGACTGGTGGTAGCTAACTAGTCGCAGCATAGCCCTGTCGGAACTGGAGATGCCGATGCCGATGACGCCGTGCGCGTGATGAGGCTGAGAGGATAGCCTGGTTGGGTGGATGGAGGTTGGGGGGTTGGGAGTTGGGGGTTGGGGAGTTACATAACGGACGCTGGAGATGAGGCAGGGGATGTGGGATGTGGGATCGACGGGGTTAGCCAAGCTACTATGGACGGGAATATCAGGAGTATTAAGAGTGGATACGTACAAACATTGAAGGATGATGCCTAGCAAGGCTAGAGAATGTTAACAGTGGATACGCAGATCGAAGGATGATGGCTTAGAAGTGGAGATGGTCGATCGAAGGATTGTATACGATTGTACGATGACGCTGTGCGGCGAAGTGGTAGGGCTGAGAGGATTGATCTCCGCGGGAAGAGAGAGATGCGAGGCTGGGCTGAGGTGAGTTGTCGCTGGAGGGTTGGGGAGATGAGAGATATTTACTCTGCGTCGAGTTGATGAGGTTGTAGGCCTTCACTGTGGGACTGGGTTGATGCTATAACCCACCGTACGGTACGGCTGAGAGAAATGGTTCACCGTGAGGCTGCTTTGATGACGGTGGAGAATATGGTAAGGCTGTATATATATATATTCTTGTAAGGCTTTGGTATATTTTTTATATGGCAGTATAGATGGTAAGATATCTCTTTCTTCTTTTTCTTCCGTTTCACCCACAACTCTCCTCACCCATAACTCTTAAACCCAACCTTCTTCCCCTCCCCACCACCCTCCCCCCTCTCCCTCCCAAGCACCTCCCCCATCGCCTCCCCCAACGCTCCCACCGCCTCCTCCGTAACCTGATAATGCACCACCACTCTCCCCCCACCAACCTTAACCCCCCTCCTTCCCGCGGCCTTCACCCACTCCTCCTCCCCCACCCCCGCCGCCTCCAAATCAAGCCACACCATATTCGTCTCTACCTCTCTCTCCAGCCTCCCCCCCTTACTCTCCCACATCTCCCCTACTCTCTTCGCCATCTCCTGGCCCCTCTTCAACTTCCCCCCCAGGAAAGTCTCTTCAACCCCAACTCGCGCAGCTGCTGCTACGACACCACTCTGTCGTAGCCCCCCGCCGATGCTCTTCCGTACCCAGCGCGCCCGCTTGACAACCTCCTTACTACCGAGGAGGATACTCCCAATCGGCGCCCCAAGTCCCTTACTAAAGCACAAACTCACCGTATCAAAACACCTCGTATACTCTTCCAACCCCCCCGCCCCAGCAATAACAGCCTCCCACAACCTCGCACCATCAAGGTGCATCAAAATCCCATTTTCCCTCGCCCACCCCGCTATCCTCCTCGTCTCATCCAACGGCATTATACTCCCCCCCAACGTGTTCTCCAGCGAGATAACCCGCGTAGGACAAGCATGCACATCATCCGACAACACAACCTTCCTCTTCACATCCTCTAACGTCAAAAACCTCCCATTCCCCGCCACAACCCCCTGCACCAACGCACCGCTCAAACTCGCCACCCCCCCAGCCTCCCACTCAAGGATATGCGCGCGCTCATCGCATAATACCGCGTGTGGAGGCTGAGTCAGGAGCGCGCGCAGGGCGAGTTGGTTCCCCATTGTGCCGGAGAGGACGAGGAGGGCGGATTCGTGACCGGTGAGGGAGGCGAGGCGCGTCTCGAGGGAGATGGTAGAGGGGTCTTCGCAGAAGACGTCGTCGAGGAGGGTTGCGCTGCTGATTGCGTGCAGCATGGAGGCGGTGGGACTGGTGACGACGTCGGAGCGGAAGTCGGTGGAGGAGGGGTAGGGGGATGTCCAGGTGGAGGGGGGAGGGGTGGTGGTGAGGAGGGGGATGGTTGTTGAGAGGGGTCGTGCGAGGGCGGTGTTGGCGGCGGCTGCTGTAAGTGCGTTAGCAATTGTGCAATTTCGGCTTTAAAAGAGATCAAGGTAGAGAGATGCATACCACCAAGCCGTCTACATATCTGCTGCCGCGCAATGGCGCGAGTGAGGCGTTGTGATCGCGAAAGCATTTCGCGGCGTTGTTGGTATTTGAGGTTGACGGAGGGGCGGCCAGGTGTAGCTGTGGTGGTGGCGGTCCGAGGCTGGCAGAATTGGCGGTGGTGCTGCTGAGACGGGGCTAGGCGGTCAGAGTGGGGGTTGCTGGTGCGTTTGGTTTGGCGGCAGGCGGATTTGGACATGTTTTTCAGGTACGACGTACGGAACAGGTAAGGTGGGTAAAGTTATTGGGGATTGAAGATGGTGGAGGAGATTTATAACTTTTATTTTGCTTGAGGGGTTTTTTAGATCGTTCTGGTGATTTTTGGAGTCTTGAGTGCCCAGGTCGACTACAGTGGGGAAATGTGCTCTTAAATAGGGTACTCAGAGATAGATCTCTATGAAGTCGGTGTGCTCTCTAGGAGCTTGAAATCAACTCAACTCAACTCAATCGCTCAATTCCATCGCTCCTTACTTAGATACCATGCGTTGCCATCTCATACAGGACCTTCCCTGCCTTCATCGTCGCTGGCCATGCTCTACTCATGCTCTCACTGCTTGCCACATCAGGCATCCTCTTCACCGACACCAACTTCGCTCTCTTTGCACTCCTCAAATGCGACAGTTACACATGAATCCCCATCCCAATCCAATCCCCTCGCCTTCTCATCGAGTTATCGTATCTCTCTCTTTTCCCATTTCCGATTTCTACCCGCCTCCAACATTCTGATATCCCTTCCCTGCAGGGATTCTCAAATTCTCCAATGACATTACTCGTGCCCATGCGGGGATCACGGTGGACCCCTCCACCCTCGACCCTCCAACCTCACAAAAACTTGGCAAATGGGAGAGACGTCAATCGTGGGCCTTGGTGGTGGCCATTTCGTTTTGCCATGCCCAATTTCTTTTGCTTCCATCTTCACATGCGATTATCGTTCTTTTTTAAAATTATCCATATTCATTGCTGCGTGTTTATACAGTTCGTTGCTTTGGTCTATATACACTCACTAGAATTGCTTGCATCGCGTTGATTTCTGTATGGAGACGATTGCGGCATTGTACTGAAAGAATACCCGCGATAACGACTCCATACCCGGGATCCCCTCAATCGCGCGACCTCGCGATTGAGTTCCCACGATTCCCACAATCGGCGGGTGGCCTTCATTGACCTACCATGACCGTCGCCGCCGCCACCCGGGCGCGGACTCAACAATCCACGCCCTCAGTCCAATCCCCCTCCTCAAACCCAAGCGTCCACGTCTCGGCTATCAAATACGCCCACCAGGCCGCGAAGCTGTCCCACCTCCCCCAGGACGCCGAGGGTACGAATGATGGAGCCGCAGCTGTGGAGGCGGAGTGGATTACCCCCCAGGACCCGGTGATTATTACCGCGGATGGGGGGAGGCTGCCTGGGGTGCCATTGGCGGAGGCGCATAAGTTGGATCAGTTGAAGGATGAGGTTGATGTTGGGATGGGGAAGAAGGCGGTGGAGGGGGAGGTTGGGGGGGTCTCAGATGAGAAGGGGGAGGGGGCAGGAGGGTCAGCGTCGCCGGCGAATGGATCGCCGAGTCAGGTGAAGGGATCTATTCAGAGGTCGGGGGAGGGGTCGTTAACGAAAGCTATGCCGCCGAGTCGGACGAATCCTTTGTTCCCTCCGCTGCCGCTGTATGGACCTCCCTCGCTGTTACGAAATGCCCAATGCGCCGTCTTCAGATGCACATCTGCAGTCCTTTCTCTAGCGTTTCTCGGCGTCATCGTTTTGGGTTCAGCTTTTACAAGCATACCCCTGATGTTCAGCCACATCTGGATCCGTCTCAAGTTCCAAAACCCCGATAAACGCCGCCCCTTCTACGAAGAAGAGAAGCGCCGCTCAATCCTCCGAAAAGAAGGCGAGCAAGAATGGCGAAAGAAGAAAGCCCGTCGGCAAAGCACCACAGTCCGCGACGACAACGAAGCCGACGCCGGCCAAAACAACGGCTTCACCCCCACCGAAGGCGGCCCCGACCCGCTCATCTGCGACGTAGCCTACTACGCGCGCCGCGTCGGTCTGGACATGGAGGAATTCAAAGTCCAAACCGAAGACGGCTTTCTCATCGACCTCTGGCACATCTACGACCCCTCCGAGTACACTCCCCTCCCCCCAGCCTCACGCTCGCCCCTCGGACCATCCACATTCCCCACTTCCTCCTCCCCGCCCGGTCCCGACCCGGAATCCAAGAAGAAACCCAAATACCCCATCCTAATGATCCACGGCCTCCTCCAATCCGCCGGCGCCTACTGCACCAACGACGACGCATCCCTCGCCTTCTACCTCTGCAAATCCGGCTACGACGTCTGGCTCGGCAACAACCGCTGCGGTTTCTCCCCCCAACACACCCTCCTCTCCTACTCCGACCCCCGGATGTGGGCGTGGAATATCCGGCAAATGGGCGTACTCGACCTGCCCGCCCTGATCGCGCGCGTGCTCTCCGCTACCGGCGCGCCGAAGTTGGGATTAGTAGCCCACAGCCAGGGAACGACGCAGACGCTCGTGGCGCTGGCGAAGGAGCAGAGGCCGGATCTGGGGGAAAGGATTAGTGTGTTTTGTGCGCTGGCGCCGGCGGCGTATGCGGGGCCGTTGATTGGGAAGATGTATTTTAAGTTCATGCGGCTTATTTCGCCGGGGGCGTTTAGGGTGTTCTTCGGGATCCACGCGTTTATCCCGTTTATGATGACGATGCACTCACTCCTCCCGGGGAATCTGTATGGTGCGCTGGGGTACCGCGTGTTTAGCTTCTTGTTTGGGTGGTCGGATGATAGGTGGGATAGGGGGTTGAGGGATCGGATGTTCCAGTTTAGTCCTGTGTATGTGTCTGCGGAGTCGATGAGGTGGTGGTTGGGGAGGGAGTGCTTTGCGAAGCAGAAGTGTATTTTGCAGACGAGGGAGGAGTGGAGGGAGGAGGATAAACAGGATAGAGTGGAGGAGGAGAAACGGTCGTCTCCCGTTCTTGCGGCCGCTGACGCAGAGTCTGGAGTCGAAGATGTTGAGAGGAGTGGAAGTCACGTCCACAAGGCGTCCACGGCGTGGTATGACTGCCGCGCGCCCCCTTTCGCTCTTTGGGTCGCGGGTTCAGATCTCCTTGTTGATGGTAGGCGATTACTGCGCCGGTTTGCGAGCGGGAGAGAACCGCATGTTAGGGTTGTGCATCAGAAGGTTATAGAGGAGTATGAGCATCTTGATGTTATTTGGGCTGTTGATGTTGTGGAGAAGGTTGGGAGAGAGGTGAAGGAGGTGTTGTGGGCGACGTGTGAGGGGAGGGAGGGGTGGAGGGTGCCGGTTGGATGTGAGGAGGTTGATGTTTGGGATGGGAAGGGGGTGGTGGGGAGTGGGAAAGAGAAGGGTGGTGAGGGGAGTGCGAGTGCAGAGGGGAGTGGGGAGAGTGAAATTGAAGAAACCGGGCGGGCGAGGGTGAAGCCTAGAGGCCGCCTGTAGGGGTTGAGTGGAGGTGGGATTTAGCGTGTATATATATGTATAAGCTTGGAGTTTTTGGACCTGGGCCCCAGGAAAAAGGGGAAAGGAATTGGATATACAGCACCCCTGTTATTGCTTATTATAAACCTACATCACAACTGACTTTCCCACTACCATACCAGCCCACCCCATCTCACCAGCCATTCTCAAAACCCACACTCGCAATCCTCATCCGATTCCTGCCTACAACCATCCACCCCCCCTTCTCCCTAAACTGCCTCCCCACCCCCCTCTGAAACCCCCTAAACTGCTCCTTCTCCTCCTCCCCATGCCCTCTTTCTTCCCCCTCCTCCCCCTCCACCCCCACAAACTCCCTCAACAAGCACCTCCCCCCATCCCACCCCTCCGGCGGCTTCACCTCCGTCCCGCACCCGGGCCTGGGACCGATCACTAACACGAGCCTCTCGACGTCGTGGAATAAATCCCGGCCGACGAAACGTAATATCATCGCCCCCTGGCTATTCGCGAACTGGCTCGCGCTGAGGCCTATATTCCTCAATCCCGTGATGGGGGAGGCTTGAGCGGCGAGGTGGTCACGTATCCACTTCACAAGCCGCGTCACCCTAATCGCCGGTTCATCCCCCAGCAGCACGAGGGTATCCATATCAGGCGCAATATATAGAACCCGACGTTGCGCCCACGGCGGCCGATGATGCATCTCCGACGCCAGCGGGAGAGCAATCGAATACGTCATCAGCGCGGCATTCCGGGACTCGAGACTCGTAGACAAGGCAGCTGGGTTGTAAGACCGCGATTGGAACGGGGGAGGACCGTGGGAGTCTGGGGAGGAGGCGTTGTGTGGGTTTGCGTAGTGGGCGCGGGGGTAGTGGAGTTCGAGGGTGCGGGGGTGGAAGGAGAGTGTCCAGATTGAGAGGCGGATTTCGGGGGGGAGGTGGAGGAAGAGGGGGAAGGTTGTGAGGCTGGTGGAGGGGGTGGGTGGATGTGCCGGACCTGTCGCGGCGGCCGCCATGGTGAGGTTGTGAGGCGTGGACTAGGTCCCCTGGATGTAGATCGTGGGGAGAGCTAGACACGGCGGTAGGCTTGGGCTAGGTCCCCTTCATGGAGAGATTGGGGAGAGCTAGATGGAGAGGTGTGCGGGGAAGATGGTGGGGTTGTCGTTGGGAGAGTGAATTTGGGATATCACGTGAGCTTTGTGAATGTGGTCGCGGCTTTGTATTTTTCCAGTCATTTAGCCCCTTGAGTGGCTTTGATGTGGCACCTCTGTAGCAACCTTCGTGAATACGAGTTGTTTGTGGCACCGCGTGTAATAAAGTTATAATTAGTGTTATATAGCCTAGCGGGTAGAGCCTCGTCGCCCGCCCCCACTTGCCCTTATTTTGTGATCGCGACTACCCCTAATACCTTACAACTCGAAAGTAGGTCTCAAATTTACGACGCGTTGTGCCGCGACAGGAAAAATCTCATTGGGGAGAACGACGACCAGTGAAAGACCCTTGTTGGTCTGCTTTAGCGCTAAAATTTGCATGTCCAACTATAAGGCACGCCTTGCGCAGACAGGTATCGTGGCTGGGGACATCGCAGCCTCAGCCTTCGACGCCACAAAAATGTGACCATTCTTAAACCAGGGAAATCGCTAGATCCTTTTCCGCAGCAATAATGAGGAGAGATTGAAGACGGCGGTAAAGACTGTGGCGTCCACTGCTAGCTGAAAGTGTGAAACAGCACGCGCACGGCAGCGAGATAATTATAGACGCAGCCTTGTCGTCGACGCTACAATATAACCTGACATTTCCTCCTGTATTTTGACTTCGAGATTATTAATTTTCGATACAGGCAATGTCGACACTCAGATCTATTATATCGCAAGTCTAGCCTCCCAAAGGGGCTGTCATTCTGCAAATATCAAGCGTGCAAGCCTGGTCTATGGAGAAACTCTGATTCCATTATATCGCAAGTCTAGCCTCTCGAAGGGGCTGCCGTTCTACGAATATCAAGCGTAGCAAGCTTGGTCTCTGGAGATATATATTACAAGTCTAGCCCCTCGGATGGTTGTCGTTCTACGAAAATAAAGCGCAGCAAGCTCGGTCTCTGGCGATCCCAGATTGTCACAACTCTCGCATGCTCAACTTTACGCATAGCCCCTCAAAGGCCTTTCATCGTGCCACAAATACCAAGCGCAAGAAGTTCGGTCTCTGACTATTACTCGAGTTGAACCCTACAAATCGGCTCACTGCCTACATATCTCATAAAATGCTTTCTTCACGTGGATGCATCTTTGTCCTAATTTGGGCTTACTCCCAAGTTGCCCAAGCATATACAAAGTTTGAACCGGAGTGCACGAATCCTAAAGAGGCTGTCAATTTTGTCTCTTCGCCTCCCACACGTGGGACATTGGATATACTATGGAGCTCTCTGTTCACTATATTTGCATGCACCTGGTCTGTTCTACACCTTAATGTACCGCAGCAGAGAGTCAACCGGGACCCTGGGATACTGGGGGATCTCAAGTGGGGGATAAAAACAGTTTTGAGCAAAACAAAATGGATGCTCTACACGGTTTTGGCCCCTGAAGTTCTTCTGCTCTATGCTGTCGCAAGACTCGTCAGTGCTTGGGAACAACACCCAGAGATAAAAGCTTTCGCTGACGCCGACCGAGTTCCATGGACGCTAGCCCATACGACATTCGCAGATATGGGCGGGTTTGTTGTACGAGGCAGGTCGGATCGTATTGGCGGAGTATCCCCTGGATCTGAGATGCCCACGGCCCCAATCCAGACACAGGTTAATGAAAGTGACCCAATCTCGGATTACGCCAACGAGTGGTATATATTGGATCTAAAAACTATTCGGAGGTTGCGATCTGAAGGGCATATCACACTTCCTTGCATCCTTAAGGCTGAGATAGATGACCACTCAAAGGGGGATACCTTCACCAAGGTTATAGCCGCCACTCAAATCATCTGGACGATTGCGAATGCTATTACCCGAGCCTGCCGAGGCCTTGCAATCTCCCAGCTAGAAGTATCCGTTGTAGCGTTCGCAGTTTGCGCACTTCTCATCTATGCCAGTTACTGGTATAGCCCCAAGGACGTATCGGTCCCAATAACTTTTCTCCAGTGGAGAGGGCCTGTACCTTCTACAATTGCAAAGATCATCGTTAAGGGGGTAGTCTCGACTCGTCCCAAACGATATGTGGGGGTCAAAACAGGCCAAGCCCCCTTTAGGAATACCTTCGCCTACGACAACAAGAGCAGGCTCGATGTCTACACGCTTTTTTGGGGCGCTTTCTTCTTTGGCGGACCGCACCTTCTGGCGTGGAATTTTACGTTCCCTACCCCAGCCGAGAGGATTATATGGCGAGCAACATCGTTATATTGTTCGTCAGTTGGACTAATAATATATTTTTTTTTCTATGTCCTAGAAAAGCCACTGAAGAATCTCGATATCGAATGGTCAAACACCTCTAGATTCTTGGACTTCCTTTCATATATTATCATGGCAATTTACCTATTAGCACGGCTCTTCCTGCTTGTTGAAACATTTAGGACTCTTCTTTTCTTACCCCCGAGCGCTTATATTGCAACCTGGACCTCAAGCGTGCCTATGTTTGGCTAAGGATTAGGTAGCTCATAATATCTGTATTGTATCTTTCATTACATACCTAAGTAATTAAGAGCATCTATTATACCGTCAACTACTGTATATGACGCAATTTTAGATAATCTTAAGTGGTTAAGAGCGTTGGTTTACTCTGTAGTTCCTATAAACAGTGTCATAATAGACAGGCTCTAGTGAGTAAGAGTATTTATTTTTCTATAGTTACTATAAGCAGCGCCATTACGGACAGGCCCCCTCTAAACTTTCAGACTGTACGAGTATATCTCCAACGTGTTTCTCATGTCCGTCACCAGCATTCAGTGTCCCCCGTCCCATGCTGCTTGGGTAGCATCGTCGCCATGCCTCTTTCCGCCCCAATTCCGATCACAGGGCTGAATACAGCAAATGTGAACGAAGTACGCTGCGCGGGCAGTGGATAAGGTCGCATTCTGCGAAGGAGCGCAGGTCGCGGTATATGGAATCCTCGCCCACGCTCTAGCTCTCGAATGGGATTCACGCACAGAGAGATACAACAAGGACTCCGAGAAAGAAAGCAAATAAGGGGTATCCGAATTCGCAACAAAGCGCTCTGGTCATTCACCAAATACAGATTGATTTGAGGTCTAGATTACAATGAATGGGAGAAAGGACAAGCACCATCCATTCCTTGCTCCATGAGATATTTAGGACCGAAAACGCAACCCGCCCCCTTCTCAGAAGAGCAAGAAAACTTAGAAGTAGGAATACATTTTGTTGGACAACGTGAATTTTACTTTTGACAGAGAGTCGGTCACAGTGGAAATGGGCGAAATCATACCATATCACATCATATCTTCCTCCTCTCTGTCAATTTTCCTGTCTCCCACCTCCCCCTATTCCCCAAGGCAACGAAACCACCCCAATAACCATCTACCCCTATTCAACAGCACCACTTACTTTCACGTGATACCGCGCTCTCTTCCCATTCACATGCTCCACCACTCCAACGACTCCGTAACGGCCCGCATCTCCTCATCAGGAAAGCCGCACTGCATTACGCCCGCCCTCCACCTCGCTCCCCCCCCAGACCCATAGTTATGCCACGACGAATGCAAGCCGCGCTGCAGGTGTCAAGAAGCAGTTATGTGACGTGGAGAACGGGCTATCGGCCGGTAGACAGGACAAGAGGGTGTGCCGTAGGCACCACAGGATAAGGAGCCACACTTCTTCTGCGCCCAAGACGGCAAACTGGGAGCGGTGAGAAAGCACCTACATGTTTCCATCGCGCTGTGGGTGTGCTGGTTATAGATAGCGATGCAATGCCCATGTGGCGAGCTCGATGTACGCGAGGAGGGGGATAGGGTGGAGGCTTGATTCGCTGTGGTGGGGTGGTCTCGAATCGTGTCGTGCAGATGCAATACCGCTTCAGTACCGCTACGGCGCTAGATGGCTGGGATGCTTATGCGGGACGATCGATAAGGGAGGGAGAGAGGGGGGGTGGGGGCGGCCAATGGGTGGGCTTATGTATGTACTGGATATCGGGAATTGGGGAGAGGATGTTATCGTTTCCTTGATGCTGACGGAAGGGGTAGCTATAATAGAGGGGAGCTTGCATCAGGACGCGCAAGACATTACCTCATTGCTTTCGAGCTGTAGAGGTAGGTACAGTGAGCTATACGAGGTCGAGATCGACTGATCGAGATTGTTAATGGCAGAGAGTCTGGAGCTCAATCCCGCTGGTCGTAAGCATATTGCGTTTCGTCTCCTCTCCACCCGAGTGCAGCATCATCACCGTCAAAAACCTCTACGCAATCGCCCGCCATCCCACATCGTTAGCACGTGTAAACCCCCTCCCCGGTCCATTGACCCCTAGCCCACCCCCCTAGCCGCCCTACGAGGCACACTCGCCGCTGGAGTTGCCGATCCGCATCCCATCCCGAGGAGATGTAGGCATACATCTGTACTTGTAGTATAATGTACCAATTACGCGCCGGGATCTGACACACACACATACTGTTGTTGGTAGTGTAGAAGATACAATGGCCGCCCTGTTATCCGTTCCCCGAATAGATGGTCTAGACCGGAGCGCACGATGGGGAGTTGATAGGCTGGGCTGGGATGGAGTGGGCGGATGATGGAATGGGATTCTTGGAAGGCATGGGTATAGGTTTGTTGATGGTTGGGATAGGGAAGGAAGGACAGGGCAGGGGCGGGCTGTTAGAGTGCGGGCAGTAGCGCGGGTAATCGATCGGCCGGGTGGTGGTGCTTGTCGGGCTAAGGACATAGTTGTAGGAGACAACTTGACTTCAATTAGAAAATTACATTGTAGCTTTCCATTGTTGCCCTAAATCAGTCAACTTTCCTCCATGAAAGACAGAAAATCCACGAATCAGCCGGCCGAGCTTAAACTCCGGTGGAGAACTCCATACAACGACTGATGCCCCTACTCCGACAACCAGTAGCCCCGATCCTTCTCCGAAAATTAACTACGTCTCTGGGGGCGTCGCATGCCAACAACACTTTACTCCAGCGGCATCGGGCCCTGCTATGCATGGCAGTTGCACTATAACGTCGTATTGACCCATGCAGCCTCGACCCAAAGGCGGTTCGCAAGTTGCTCCTGCCTTTTCACATATATTTCCCTTCCACCCAACTTGTGCCATGACTCCTATGCGTATGATTAGCACATGTGAACTGCAGCAGCTCGCTGTTAGTACAAACCACAGATGAAAAGACTTGTGATATTAGCATCGTAGTGATTAAATCTATATGAGGCATATCAACTTACCCAAGTATGGTAAAGGGTGTGTATCTCATCTTGGGCTAGGTCTAGTTGGGGAAATGATATAATTTAGCTTTGGAAGTGTAAATTATATCGCCGTTATATTTTAGGGATTAGAAAAAGGCATTTTATAGTCTAGAAAAGCAAGCGTATCATAAATGTAATATAAACCATACACTTACACATCGTAGGTTGCATTGGCTTCTACGAGTTTTACACATTTACACATCGCAGGCTGCAATTAGCTTTTATATAAAACTTGTTAAATCAGGAAGTGGCTCTATTGTGGTACAAATCTGCCAGTCATACAAGAACCCCCCCCCAAGTCGTCCCAATCACAAAAAAATAAAGCAATTTGGGCGCAGCTGAATCGCGTCAAACTCATAAACCAAAGGTCGCATGATCAAAACATACAAATTCTCATTGGAACCTACGATAAGTAAATATCTAAGTTGTGAATCAAGATATAGCTTCATTATAAAAATTTAGCGATGACTCAGTGCTACAAGAACTCCAATAAGCCGCCCGTTATCACAAGAAAACAAAGCAATTTGGCGCAGCGGAAGCGCGCCGGGCTCATAACCCGGAGGTCGCATGATCGAAACATGCAATTGCTAATTCTTTTGTATTATTTTTATTTTTATTTTTTTTGCTCTTGTTTGGTCAGTTGTCAGTTTTAGATAGGCGGGCGCCGAGCTGAGATAATCGATATCGATATCCGATACGAACTGTTCGCGCTGGAACCGGGACGTCATGCGCTATCAAACAAACCCAACAACAAGCCAGAGACACCCAGCGTACCACCATAGCTGAAATCGCGCTGCTCGCGTCGCGTCTCTCTTACCTTACCCCGGGGCCCGGGTTCCGGGGTAGCCGTGGTAGGCGCTGGTGGTTCAGTGTTCTACTGCTGTCTCACTCACTCCCTTCTCACTCTAGATCGCGCCGGATGCGGGGCGCGGGGTGGACGGGGATTAGAATGCGGGTGTCTCTGTTCGCATCGCGGGTGGTACAGTACGGGAGAGTTAGGAGTGGCGACTGGCACGGGAAAAGGGAAGGATCGGGATCGGGATGGACGCTCTCGTTGGTTTTTGATGCAGTAGGCAGGAAGGGCGATGCGCGTGAGTCCGAGGTTGGACTTTTGTATGTCGCTGCCGATTTCCACATGCTGATTCCGAAAACCCAACATATCCCATGCGTCGCCGCGCCGCGGTGCGATGCGCGCGTCACAAGTGAGAAATGCATCTCCGCGCTCCGACGACGTAGCCAACCCGGCATACCTGGACGCGTACCTGGAGACCAGTCCGGGGGCGTGAGACAGCGCTGATAAGGCGAGACATTCCACGTGGATCAAACGGGTGTGCAGGACGCATTGGGTGCGCTTCCCCGACCCGGATTCGCCGCAACGGAGGAGAGACGCGGTGGCGGATATGGGTATGTAGAGTACCTTTGCGCGACGAGGAGAGGGATGTTGTTCGCGCTGGTGTTTTGTCGCGGACGGGGTGCCGGAGTTGGATGGGACTGCAGGTGGGTGGTGATGCAACGGTTTTGGTGGAGGAGGAGGGAGTAAGGAGGGGGGGATGGGGGCAGTAGGGGCGCGTGTCGTCTCACCGGAAGCAGGAAGGCTGCAAATTGTCCGCAGCGTGATGTGATGTGGTGTTGATAGGCGCTGTGCGAATGTTACAGTCTACTGTAGAGGCTGCAGCTGTGGCGCGCCAACGTGAGTAGATGGGGAAGGAGGAGATACCGTGAAGGGGGTGGGACGTCAGAGGTGGCGATAACGAGCGCTGATCAGGCGCGAGAACTATGGTAAGGCGGGAAGGAGGATAGCTAGAGAAATTCTAGCTGGCCGTTGAGTTATCTCGAGGAGGCTCGGTCCGAGAGATGACGAGGGGAGGTTCAGATTGTATAGATACGTAGAGATAGGGGGGGTGGAAGGGGGGTGGAAGGCGGGTGGAAGGGGGGAGAGAGATATGGTAGTCGTTCTGGCTGGCCGGACAGATGGTACTTTGAAGCCATGTAGGTACTGGAATCCGTATCTACAAGTTGCAGTTTTGATTGTCGTGCATTCGTCGACATATATCTATACAACACATATACACCACACTCCTTCACCGGATATCCCAACTCGAACATCCCGATTGTCGTTACGTGCTGACCCCCACTCGTCCGTGTGGAGGTGTGCAAGCTGTCGCCATTGTTCCTGGATGCTGACCTCGAAACCTTGAGACTTTGACACACCTTTAGAGCTACGTACTCTGTACTCTATCGGGGTGTGCATGGATGGCTGGCTCTGGTTATCACATCATGGACAAGCTGTTAGCGGACGCTTGACTGTGCATCAGGATGACCGGCCAGTAGGGGCCGATGGTGCAGCCCAGGTGCCCGGTTGCTTGATGGTGTATTGACTGTATAGGCTACGCTCTGCGTTTTGTGTATGTATGATGTAGTTTGTACAGCCATAGATGTACAACAACAGCAACCCTATGAACGAACGAACTGCAGGATATACGAACTTAACTCCTGTACATCCCAGTGTATGTTGCACTGGGCTGCTGTATGCAGTTCAGTATGTATGTCAGACGCCGCATGCAACTCTCCACAGCCAGTTGCGCGATCCAGGCCACCGACGTAGCGACCTCGACAAATCGACATATGGGAAAGCATCAACTGACCTCTCTGCATCTCCTCGTTCGTAGTTACCATGGATGGGATGGTGAGGAGGGGACTTCAATTAGTCCCGTGACAGGTACCCCTAAGAATACCCGTTCTCCTCAATCAAAACGTACCGCGGCAACCTTTTGAGCACGAACACCCGCGGAAGGCACGGGATTTTGTCGCCTTCATGTATCGACTCTCTCGGCTTCGTTGCTGCACGCTCGAAAATCTGCCGGGCAGAACCGCCACCCTGAAGGATTTCTTGCAGTTCTCGGTGTTATAGACGGGGCACACGAGGGGCTCGGCGGCGGTGGAATGCGGGATTAGGTATCGGATGGCCCTTGGACGGCCCTTGATGTGGAGCGGATGCGCATTGTTTCTGTGGGGATGCGGTTGGGTTTTGCCTCGTTTTGCGTGGTTTTGCCACTGGGGATGGGGCTGACCTGATCGGCTCTGCTTGGACTTCTTGGGGTTCTTGGGATGTTCTTCGACGGCTGGACGGCGGGACATGACTGTTTGGGCCTGAGGGTAATAATAGGTTAGCGGTTGGTTAGTGTTAGGTAAGTGATGGTAAGTGATGGTAAGTGAAGCTTGGAGAGTCTTTGCTTTCCTTGTAGACCTTGAGACATGTAAATGAGCATGGTTGTTTGTGCATAGCATAGTATGTATGGATTGTAATGTAGAGCAGAGTAGAGTATACTGATTGATATACTGGTATGTACAGTACATTCATCGTCGATATAGCACTCCTTGTAGAGTAACTTAAGTAACAGTAACAGGCGACTGACCTGGACTCGTCGACGGGAGAGGTACGGGATGGGACCAGATAGGATAGGCAGTGGTCGACAGTCAACTTCCTTTCCTTCCTTTCCCCTCTCCACACATACGCCATCCCCCCCGCTGATTGTCCTCATTCTGAAGCCGTTTTGCTGGTATTCGTCGCATTGTTCCCTGATATAAAAACATCTCCAGAACTCGTCAGACTGATGTTCTGGATTATCTTGTTTTCTCCCTGTATCTCTTGTCTCTTCCTGTCTCATCTGTCTCCTCTGTCTCCTCTGTCTCTCCTGCATCTCCTGCATATTCACTGCGCACGGCTCCTTATCCACGCTAAGAGGTTCGAGGCCAGAGCAGAAAATGGAAAAATGGAGAAAATGCTTCGCTAGCTGCACCCACTACTGTACAAAAAGTATTCACTACCACTCCACTACCATTCACTCCACGACCACTCACTGCCAACCCGACTACTGCAACTTCATCCACTAGCCCTTACCCCAGCCCGACTAACTAAACCACCCCATGCCAAATTCAATTCGTGATCCTATCCCTCTCTCCACTCTCCGCCGCTCACTTTACTACCCTACCACCTTACCACCTTCCAGCCCTTGCCTGTTCCCTCCTGTTCCCTGCAAAAACTAACAACCTCAACAAATAAACTCTACTACTCCCCTTCCGTCTCTCTATTCTTGAATTCCCTCTCCATCTTTCTCTACTTTCTAAACTCTATAATCTTACTTTCTCTCAATAATTTCCTTAATATACTCTCCTCTCTTTCCCCACAACTGTCTCACCCCCCGCAAAAAAAGACCTTCACGAAACGAGAGATCAGATCACATCACCCCACAATCTATCGCTTCAAACAGTCATTCCATCCGTCACCGCCGGCCGCCCTGTCAACGCTAGCACTACCACCCATAAAGAGTCGAAGAGTCGAAGACCATCATCGATTCCTCGCCTATCCACGATATCGTCACAACGACTCGCTGCCCTGACACAGGCAACAGACGATCTAGACGGGCCCCCCCACGGTTGTCTCATGCTGCGAAACTAAACGTGCGGATCTCCGACGTGTCTCGTCCTCCGGTCCTGCATCCGCGATTACAATCCGTCCCATGAGAGGCGGGCCACCACCAACCTTGACCGCCACGGGCACCAGGAAGAGGAGGATAAAAGGACACGAGTCTAGGTCGCTTCGACCATAAACAGACATATATCGCCTCTCCCCCCCGAACCCCACCGACTCCGAGGCAGCCCACGCTCCACGCACGCGACTATGGCCGTAGTATTATCAGCCGACGAGAATCGGTATTTCTCATCCAGTTCGCTCAAGAGGTCGCACTCGGGGAAGTTCACAAACTCGTCATACGCGCCTCTTGCGCCCTCGCCCTCGAAATCAGACCTACATAGCCAGATCTCCTACAACACCGTCTCCTCACCCCTGGCATCCTCTCCGCCGCCCGCACACTCGCCACCGCCTACGGTCCACACCGCCGATTCCACCACCGAATCCTTCTCTACTACCGAATCTTTCCCCTCCACACCCGCGAGCAGCATATCCTGCGCAGACGACCAGGACGACGATCAGATCGTGTTCCCCTCGTATGACGAGGTAGGATACTACGATCAGGACCAATCCGAAGATCTGGAGCCACCTGCGAGTCCACGCGGCAATGGGGAGTCATACACCGTTTCGCCCACGTCGAATACTGCCTCGACGGACGCGTCGCGACCCGATTCTCCCGAGCTCGTCGAGCATGCCGAGGACGACACAGCGATACGGTCGCAGCCGTCGCGGCATGTGGATTACTTATCACATAATTGGCGGGAGGAGGATATTTGGTCGTCATGGCAGCATATCGTATCGAAACGAGGCAACTACAGCAATAGCGCCAGGTTAGAAAACGCGTCTTGGAGGACTTGGATCAAGAACAAGTACAAGCTCAAGACTGTGTCGCCCGAAACGCTGAATTGGTAAGTCCTAGCTACTCTCTTCTATCTACAGCCATACTAACTTCCCCAGGCTAAAAGACTGCGACGTGACCTGGCTCTACGGGCCCCTCCAAACGGGCTCCGGCAAACCCTTCATGCCCCCCCCTTCCCCCATCGGCAGCCGCCGCATCTCGAAATCCAACTCCTTCCTCCACAAGAAGCCCATCCTCAAAAAACGCAGCATGTCCGAGATAATGCTTCAGCGCTCCCTCTCCGCCTCCTCCCTCCTCAAACAAGCCGCCGCTGCCGTGCAAGCCCAACAATCCGGCGCCTCCCTCTCATCCTCCTCGCACGACCGCCCGTACATGGGCCGCGCCATCTCCGACTACGGCGCCTTTTCGCTCGTTTCTCGCCGCCGAAGCCGCGAAAACACTAGCCTGCTCCCCTCGGTCACGAGCTCGGGCATCACATCCCCCGGCGCGGAGAAGAGGCATATCCACTTCAATGAGCAGGTGGAGCAGTGCATCGCGCTCGAGATGAAGGGGGATGACGATGACGACGATGCGATTGCGTACCCGTCCGACGGCCTCGGCGACTCCGACGACGATTCAGACGACGGCGCGATCATGATGAAGCGCTCGTCCTCGAAACGCAAACTCCCTCCCCTTGCCAAGAAACCGGCTCCGGTCACCCCAAACACCGACATCGAGACAATCGCCATGCTACCCTCCACAACTCTTAAGTACCGCGAAGACACCCCTGAACCGCCGGAGTCGGCGCTAAAACACAGCAGCAGCTGGTCCCTCTCCATCTCTCCCTCGCCATCACAAGAGACACTCCGCCCTTCATCCTCCTCTTCCACCGCAACAGCGCGCTCCTTCTCCTTACCAGCATCATCCGCACTCGACGATGACGACGATTGGCCGCCCCCACCGCTCCCACCGCGCCGCGACAGCGTGTCGCTCGCCCAAGACCGGTTCGCGGGACTGCAGATCTCGGAGGAGGCGCAGGTGGGGGGGATGAGGCGCACGCCGTCGGGGATGTTTATGCCGCTCGAAGAGGACGAGGATGATATTGTGGGAGAGGGGTTGTTTGGGAGGGTGGTGGAGACGGTTAATACGGCGAGGGATATTGCGCATGTTATTTGGAATGTGGGGTGGAGGAGGTAGTTGGGGTGGTCGTGCGCTGTTATGCGCTGTGGTGTTTTGTTCTTTGAGCATGGGATACGTGGGGTATTACCCCCTCCTCTGTCTGGGCCTCAGAACTCTATGAGCACTGTATGGACATACCGTTCATCCCATCCCTGACCAGCTACCTCTCCCTCTCTCGTCCAACAAACTTCCAGTCCACACACAACCGAGGACACGGACAAATTTTTTGCTTACAAACGGCGTTATCATTTTATTGTTTTTTCACGGAAAGGGGGATCATCATTGCATTGCGTTGCGCGGGGTCGGCCGGTTCTGCTATCATGTCTGCGTTTTTTTGCGTTGCGTTTTGTTTTGTTTTATTTTTATTTTTTCCTTTTTTTCTCGAACTCTCTCTCTCCCGAAACATGCGCGTGGGGATGATGATGACGTTCTGCTTGTTTTTGTTTTGTTTTTTCTACTTACAACTTCCTTCTTCTTTCTTTCTTATTCCTTCTTCTTACTCTGTATATGAACAATCGGGACACTGAAGCGGGAAACTTTGTGCGAACGCGGGTGGGGCGGAGGCGGGGGGTATTAAAAAGCATTAGACCTCGATGATCGATGTTAGGTTTTTTTTTTGGGGTCTTGGTGTTTATGGTGGGGTGTGGGGAGTTGGTTCGGGGATAAGGGGGGGTGGGAAAAGGGGGAACAGGAACAGAGGAAGTGGAAGTGTGATATTGTGCTGTTGTGATGAGAAAGGGGAAGGGGGAAGGGGTGAATACTGGATGAGTAGAGAGGGGGCAATAGCTGTATCTAGCTGTAATGAATGCACACACACAAACAAACAAACACAAAAACGCACATACCCGCCGTCGCCGTGATTCTTCTCACTTTCAGTGACGCAACTCCCACATTAGTAACCCACCACCACAACCACCACCAGTTCGTCGTCCCGTCCCGTTCCTTTCCCACCCACCTCCCCCTTTCCCACCCGCCTTCCCTTTCCTCCTTCCCCCCCCCCCCCCCGTTTCCCAACCCCCCAAACTCATTGGCCACCCCCCAACTCACGTGACGCAAACCTCATGCGGCCTCCTGTACACCCCTCCACCCAATCCAAACCCGCAAACGAGCCAAGACCAGCGTTCGAGGTTGTGGTTGGGTGGTGAGGGGAGGTAGGTGCCTGATGTGATATTGCCCTGGATTCCGTTTCGTTGGGTTTGGATTTTGGGGCTGGGATGGGAGGCGGAGGGGAAGGTGAGGCGGACTGGTGTGGTGTGGTGTTGTTTATTTCTGGGGGGTTTTGGGATGGGTATGGGGATTGCGTGTTCGATACTGCGATGTTGCTGCGGATAGATAGGCGGGTGGAAAGACAGTATGCAGACGTTCTATTCAAAGCCCTATAGATCTAAACTCGGTGATATGCATACATACATACCCACAGCACGTCTCAGCCTCGTCTCGCGGCTTCCGGTTCACCTCGCCTCGGAGACGAAGATGGGGCCTTCACCTCAACCTGTCTTGTTTCCTCCCTCTGGCCCATCGCCATCTCGACGGCAGTACCAGATATGGACCCCGCGACTCCGATAACGCGTTATGGTAAACACCTCTTACCACCCCAAACACACCAAAATCTCAGCCCTAGCAATCACCTGCCCACCCCTCCCCGAGACAGAGGCGTAGACTAGACTTACCGGACGGTAGCTGGAGCGAGACAAGACCCTTCGTCCCCACCACTTATCTCGCTTCGTCGGCGCCAGCGGCGGCGCCAGCGGTGGTGGAATGGTGATAGTAGTGTTAGAGTCAGTAGTGCTGTCTCACGCGGTACGGTGCGGTGCGGTGCGTAGCGGCTTGGGGGTGGTGGTGGATGGGGGAGGCGTCGGATAGAGATTAGTTGTGGACTTAGGGATGGGAGTGGTGGTGGTGGGATACGTGGAGGGAGAAGGAGTGGGATGGAGATGGTAGATTGGACAGGACAAGAAGTCATGTGTAGAGAACACTGAAACCGTGAGGCTAAACATACGTATAACTTAGGTCACTGGATCCCCATCATCAAAAGTGAGAGTCTCTCTCTTTCCCCTCAAAGATCGATCACTGGACTGAGAGGAGAGGGAGAGGAGGGAGAGTCACTAGATCGCCGCCGCCGCGTCGTCACCATCGCCACAGCCGCTCACCTTCCTCAAGCATCAGCGCGTCGCGCATCCAACCAAGCCGGTTACGCGTGACATCTCCCCTTCCTCAAGCATCCCCATCCTCTCCCATCCCCGTCATCCTATCCTCTCCTATACTCTCCAAACCAAACCCGGAGATACGCGCCGCGCACGTGCTCTCTCCTCTCTCCTGCCCCAGCCTATTCAATCACCTGCTCCCTTCCCATCGCGTCCGTCGTCACTTCACGTATATCCTTGGCATACGGAGCTCCGTAGGGCACCACTCAAGGAACCAAAGCATCCGGATCATCTCCCACCTCCCACCTCACACTCTCTCTCGCTCCTCGCTCATCTTTCGCTTCACGGGGTGGATCCCTGATCAAGCCAGTCAACAGCGGTATAGGACCGACTCCATCCCATCACAGCTCTGCTCTGTGCATCTAGGTTGCGTGATTGGGCGGTGTATGCTGTCACTGGTCACTGTTCCTTGAGGTACCAGGGGGTTGGGAAATTCGAGGCGTAGGGGGAATTGTGATTTGTTCCCCTTGCTCGCCTGGTTGGGCGCGTAAAAATGGGTGAGTGAGGGTGTGGTGGACCAGTTAGAAAAAAGGAAATACACGAAAATACAGGTATTTTTTATTTTCTGATTTTCTTTTTTAATTTCTTTTTAGGGAGGAGG